AAAAAGGCTGTAAGAAGTCACAGGAAGCCGGAAACACTTTTAAGATTTTGTGGCTTTGGTGTTAACATGATTTGAATAGTACTGAATCTTAATCTCGTATTTGTGCGGTTATAGACTTGGACTTAAATCGCTGTCCTGTCACCTTATGAGGTATATTCCGTTACTGCGAATGTTGTAATGTAATGTATACTATCATATGTCCGATTGTGCCTTAATCTGAGTCTGATTCAGCGCTTCCATGTGAATAAAAATGCAGACAGACAGAGCCAGTGGACTTCTCCTCTCCAGTGATCATCAACCAATACAAATAAATAAAAAAAAAAAACAAAAGAAAAAACACCATCAAAGCCAGGAAAGCACCTTGCGGTCGGGATGCATTTTTTCAATTAGGCACGAAGTTATTTGAGACATTTCTTACAAAGCCACAGAAAATTGATCGGTCAGTCAGTTAGTCAGTAGTGTGAGGTGAGGTGAGGTGAGGGAATGAATGGCGTTGAAGCCAAAGTCAGTGTCGGTATCGGAGGTATCAGACGTGGACGTGGGAGACAGCTACAGGCATAGTTTCTGCACATTGTCACACGAGCGTGCAGTGAAAACAGTGTGATTGAATAGGAATATAATGCATCAACTTACCATCACCAGATATACTGCCTTGCGAACTGTGTGAATCTTCTGAAATTTCAATTGGGAATAAATTGCTTTTTCAATGTCTGTATATGAGTGTATGTTTGTGGTACCTGCCCCGTTTTGGACCTCATTCATTGCTGTTATCCATTCAACGCCTTGTGACTGTGACATGAAATTGTTTGATGACGGCGTTGTTGGGGCATCCGATATGCTTCCCAGTATACGATTCGAATATTCATCGAACTTATGCACTGCAATGTAATAATAAAACACAATAATAAGGCTGCTGATCTTGATCAAGTGCACGATTAGATATGTATATACGAAAAAGTAAGCCGGTTGATTCTTCTCTAATAGAATATCCCCATCTACCCTAAGAGTGCAGATCTAATTAGTGTTAAAATCGTATCTCCATATATTTATAACATAAAAAGGACAAAACCAACCAGGGAACAGAGGACTAACAAATATTTAGAAATTGAGGAAAAGACAGACACTGAATAAAGTCGTGGGCCATTCGAATGGGCCATGTGCTTTTCCTTTTTAACCGAGAAAACCGTGACTTAAACGAGGAAACTCTTTCATTTAATTTCTGTTGGTTATGGCATTCGTACACATCGAACAAGACGAAGAATCGAATGCGGCGACAACAGGTCGCATCTGACTAAAAATCTTAGGACAGGAAATAAAAAAATCCCAAATCGCAATCCCCACTCCACCCCAACCTTTCGGGCAGCAGAGGCAGCGACTTTTCGCTATTGTTCTTCAGTCAAGCAATGTTCAGTCCCAGTCCCGTCCCCAGCTTAGTCTGCAGTTTAGATTTAACAAGTTCTCTTTCTGCGGATCAACCTTTCTCAACTGGGAATTTTAATATATTGAAAATGTAATTTTATGTTCCACAGAAATATACATATGTATGTATGTATTGCTGATATTTTTTATATAGTTCGTATAACATCAATAAAGCACAGCGTGTTGTCGTACATATCTAATATCAAACAGGGACATACAAACACATGGATATGTAAAATTAATTGAATGCCAAATGGATACATGCATTAACATGTAACTTACATTTCGACTTTTCGTCAATTTGTGCTGAGGTATAAACAATTCCGTTGTTATGGTGGGGATGATCATTCTGATGATGATGGGTGCCGATTGTGATGCTCAGGTTGTCACCTGTCGGAGCGCTTTGTAGTGTGTGTATGGTCGGTGAGACAGCCAGATGCTGTTGTTGCTGTGAGAGGTGGTGGTGTTGCAGATGCTGTTGATTATCGTGCTCATGCTGGCTCGTGTTGGTAGTCAACGTTTGATCTTGGCCATGGCTACTGTGAACAGGCAAGGGCTGGTGGATGATGTGGTGCTGCAGCTGATGCTGCGAGAGCGTCGCAAGCCCATGGCTAAGATGTGACGATGTCTGCATTTCCATTATGATCATCAGAATCTGAAAAAAAGGCAAGCAAATAGTTCAAGCGGAATAGAAAAGTTTCTGTAGCTGCTATAAGTCCAGTATTCACTAAATCCGGGGAGTTAAGCTACCTAAAATATGGTACATCAGCGATAGGTAGCTGCTACCTGACTACCCCTGCATAATTATAGATAAGAAGCCTAGAACGTTGAACTTACTGCCACTGCAAGAACAAAGGCGAAACCGAACCTAAGTCTTGTGCTCGAAGCGTTTGACGAAAGCTACTTGTTCTTATACTCGTGCTTGGGAAGCTACGTGGCTCATTGCTAATAATAAACCTGCTTTAAGTTACCCACCCAGACTGATCAACTATTGAATACTTCGCAGAAATACGACTTACATATATTATATATATAATGCAATTAAGTTCTACACGAGTATGCTGTAGAGCACGGCTGATAAAACATGAAGATAATCATTATCCAGGTGATGTGAGCAATAAATTATCTACATAAATATGTATGTATGGATATTCGTGACACAAATTTGAGAGCAACGATATCCTTTATTTCCCCAGTGCATTAAAATGTAAAGATGTAAGAGCTTAGGTAACCAGACATTTGCTTGTACTCTGGCGACCAGAAGAGGAATAGGCAAGCAAGGCCATTAGAAGTCATCGGCATAACGTCGATAATCATAAGCAGTGGCTGGAAGCTAACCAGAGCAGTTAGCCAGAACTTCGTTGACGATGGCCTGAGCCGGTGGCAACAAATCCACATTCGAAGGGCTGGTTATTTCTGGTCTAAAATATAGGTCATGTGGATCACGTTAGAGTTCATCGGTTTGTATTTGTATACAATGGCTTTCAATTCTATTCTTCCGGAAGCTCATCCGACTAATAAAGGTCTAACCACATATAATAGGATTCATTTTTCTTTAATATTTTATACGGCTTTCCGCAGTTGAATATGTGATATGGAATCTTACTAGTCAGATGCCACAAAGCATTTCCCGCTCATTTCCTTATGATATGCCAGCGCTGGCACCGGTGCCTGTGCCCAGCAACATCCCTCGACGACCTACCCCTACCACAAGGAAGGCGAGCGCGCGCGCGTGTTTGTAGCACTCATTCACCTGTTGTTAATTGACCTTTTTGAGACTCTCACTCCCTTAAGGGTCATTGCAGTTGAGCAGTTGAGCCAAGTGCATGAGAGAGGGCACGTGTGTGAGTGCGCTAGAGTATGTGTATTCATGATCATGAAACTCGCGCTGCATTTGCTTAGCTTGGCTAGACCATCTGTTTTCCTTAAAGAGTCTCACTACCCTGTTGTCAAGAATTTTCACGGGTACGCAGTTATAGTTATAGTTATTCTAGTCTATCGTATATTTTGGGGAACAGTGCTACATGTTTTGACATAAATATTACGAGCTATGAAACTATGGAACTATTTTTCCCTTCCAGAATGATATCATCATTCATGCATATGTACGAGTGTCTACAAAATATAATTCGGCTGTAACGCCAGCGCGGGAAAATGGCATGAAACGGTGTATCCACCTTTTCGCACCCCCGACTTACAGTTCAGATGCGTTTCTGTATTTTACCATGTACGATAAAGTATAACAGAAAGAGTTAACTTTTTGAAACTTAACTTTTTTAACCGAAAAAGCTCCTTAATATGATGTCATGTATATAGTATGTATTTATGTACACATGTACATAGAAATGCAAAACTGAGGCCCAGCCAAACTGAAGTCACGGTCGGTCAAAGCCTGATGAGGGCAGGGGCGTAAGCGACGAGTTTCTGTTTCTTCGACGTTCTTTTCAAGACCAACTTACTTTTTTTTGTCGTAATACATTCAATTCAGAAAATAAAAGTGGGAAAATATAAACGCATTTTCACACACTCCACTCACATCGAATAATGGCGATGACGACTCAAACGACTCAGCTCCGGGAGTCTATGAAAACGGAAAAAAAGCAGCTCAAGGTCAGGGGCGTGGGTAAATGTTGCCCAGAGGTTGCCCAGACAAACAAAACACGATCTTACATAGGGTACATATTTACTATACATATGTATGTATGCAGATTACGGTTAGGCGTTGGATTTTTTGTATCCTTACAGAGTGTAGTACTAATATTGATAATTAAGTTGATTAAGCTCAAATTTAATTACTGCACCCAATCCTCAGACTCAGACAAACAATTTCTGTCACAGCTCAAATGTACTCACCGAAACGAACTACACATTGGTTTTCATTTCCAAGCTCAGTCGGACTTTTTGTACTGATATTCACTTTATATTCATTGAAAATGGACCACAAATCTACACTTTTTATAAGCATTCGAAACTTAAGGCATTTAATAAATATAGATTATTGAGTTTCAATAAGTTCACATCCGAAATACACATACATTCAAGCAAGTTGATTTTTATACAATACGGCACTTGGCATGGTCGGCAGAGCAGCGCGTACCACTTGTTGGGCCATATGTCCACGATACAAGCCAAGCCGAGCTCCAGGTGGATGGATTATGGACCGTACGAAACGACCGACTCGAGCGAAACTAAATTGTTGAATGACAATGGACGGCGGAAGCCGGGTTTGAACCACTCAAATTCAATGGGGATACTTTCTGTGTGTGCTTGTGTCGGCTTATGTATCATTTGAGTCGCGCTCAAACTTGGTCTAAGACGGCTTTACGGTTGGTCGATTCCATTTCCACTCACCTGGGCACCTAGCGTATTGCATGCTCGCTCGATCTGCAATATGATCAGCGCAGAGAGAGAACGATAGAAAGAGAAAGAGAGAGAGGCTCCCGTGTTTTACTTTGTATGCATACACAAAGTGTTAGGGTATTAATGTACTTTTTTTTACTAAAGCGCGCGTGGCTATATACTTCATATATAGCATGTAAGTATGTATGTGCATCCACACGTACATATATTTTAAATAATATATTTTCACGCAATTCAGACCGACACACAGGGGAGGGAGGCGGGCCCTTTCTCTCTGTCTGTCGTTATATTGTACACACATACATATGTATGTACTGATTATACATATGTAAGTACGTGGCTTACTGGGCGATGCTCAAACAACAGGTAAGCAACAGTCATATTTGCAAGTTTCTATACAACTTTCTCGGCTCTTTACTTTACATGTACGGAAGCAAGCGGAAGTAAAGCATGTTGTTCACCTGATCAACCTACCCCCTTTTCAGCAGTTTGAGTGGGTTGTGGTCGTGGCTCGCATCGAATGCCTGCACTCCACAGGTTGAGTTGATGAGTGAGTACATAGTTAACGATATACATATGTATACTCGCATTTGTTCGTATGCAAGTGGTAAACACTTTTATTTATGTCATCTTCGGTTCCAGTACAGTCGCGTATCCTGTCAATGCACACCTGCATAGGTATTGCACACTATTGTTACTTGGAACACTTAAAGGAAATAAACATATGCATACTACATTTACTTTACTCTATTTAATAAATAATTATGGATACATACAAAAATATGTATGTACATGTGTATGTATAATAAATCGAAATATCTATGTATGCGTGCATGCATGAACGTTAATATTGAGGTCATTATGTAGTCAGTATGTACATCTATGTAGGTACCTGTAGCCAAACAAACGCAGGTGCTTCGCTTCGTATCCAGCTAACAAAATGAAAACGGCGCGTGCCAAGCAAATCGTCGACTACCGTTGGAAACCACAGTGGGGCGGAAGAGTGACGAGATTGAGCACTCAACCGTCTCTGATTCAAGCTCAGAGTTCTTTGGTACTGGGTTGGAACTTGCTTAGGGGCATTTGATGTATATATGTATGTACTTACATACGTACACATGTAAGTTCAAATGAACATCCATTTGAATAGATATAAATTTCATATTACCACTACTAACAAAAGATCCTTCAAGGATTTACTTTATCATTCATACAGCTCATTATCTGTGGTCCAAAACCGTTAGAATTACATGTAACCATCGCAGTCATCGTGAGAGGGGGAAACAGAACCAGCTGTTCTAGTGCTGATGCTAGCTGTTAGGACAAGGAACAACCATCTACATATACATAGCTATGTTGTGTCTTTTTCCACCTTCCCTTTAATTTTTCTAAGCGGTGAAAACTCCTTAGCACAAACGGAGCCCGCGCTTTATTTACAGAACACCTGTTAGACAGCAGCAACCGTGGCGGTGGTGGCAGCCAACGGCATGTTGGTCAAAAACCTACCCTATGATCGCCTTTCCTTTCCTCAGTCAGTTCATTCTTGGCGCATATGTACATTTTACATGTATACATATGTTTGTTCTTTTTTTTGTGGTTTTCAGTTAGCTTGTGCGTAAAGACTAAACTTGGGGCACACATACGTGCGGGGTTCAATGATCTACAAAATGCATAACCTAATGTACCTAGGCGATAATACAAATTATGTTATTATTATGTATATTCACAATATACACACATACTATATGTATTTATACATATATGTTTATAAATTTGTGAACAATTTATAGCACTATAATTACAAGACTAACCGATGAGATTCCGACACATGACAAAATTATGCGATAGAGAGGACATGAGGATCTAATCGATACTGTGTTAGCGTTTCATCACCCGTTTGATTCAGTAGTTGCGAAAAAAAATTTGTTTCTGAAGATTTTGTTTTTATAATTTGTTGATTTATGTACATACCTCAGACAAGTTTCGAATCACAAGAACGAACATAACAGAACAAGAAATAGAGTCAGTTGGCATTAGATATATTGATTTTTTGGTGTGTTGACGAAAGACTATTTGAAAAAAATCAATTGATCGATCGAAGCCATCGGGACTGGTCATAGAACTGAAAGAGTATAGAAACTTCGGCCATACTAGTTACTAAATCAGCTGTCTTGTGTTTTATCCAGAGCCTTAACCATTCAGCAAAATAATGGTCAAATGTTTTCACATTCATTTATAAGTGCATATGTAAAATGCGTGTGTCTATATGTACATGCATACATTCCTTTGTACATTCATTCAAGGTACATATGTACTTACGTACAATATGTAAGTAGAATTTATCCATAGTGCTCGCTTACTCTTTATATGAACAATCAGTACTCATATGTTTTTGGTATGAAATTCGGTATTTCAATCGTGGCTCGTGGCTTTTCACGGTCTGCAAGCCAACCGAGACAATTTTTCTGCTGTTTCTTTTGGTTTTTGTTGACTGTAGCTGTTGCTGCTGCCAACTGCCTTTGTTTTTTTCTGTTATGTTATATACTGAGTATTACTATTACTAAGTATTTTTGTTGTTATTTTTTATACCCGATACTGGAAGAGCTTAGGGATATATTAGTTTTGTAGTCGAAATGGATGTGTGTAACGCCCAGAAGGATCAGATCAATAGCCGAGTCATGTCTGTCTGTTCATCTGACCGTCCGTCCGTCCGTCCATCCGTCCGTAAGTAATTATTGTAGATAATGACCATATCTACCAGATCGCCGAATCTGTATTCACCGGATCGTTTTTATAGCTCAAATAAACAAATATATTTCAGTGACTACGCTACCCCTTCACTTACTTACCAATTCCCCCTCTCGCTCACACACTCTTCCTCGTGCATGGTGCGACCTCTGTAGAAGGAAGCGAGATATAACGGCAGGAGTTTGTGTGAGAAGTGAAAGACAGCTGTAGAGGAATAATAACAGAAAAAGAGAAATGGAAACATATCAAATATTGTAAAACTATAATCAAATAGGTCTTTAGTCGGATAGGGGATAAACGAAGTGCAAGAATTAATATTCTTTTCTCTCTATTTTTCTCCCATCTCTTATGACAAGTCCAGGAAAAATTGAGGGAGACCGCGGTGAGATCCTCTCATTAACTACGAACTCAATTCTTCCCTTTTGAGACAGAGAAAGATATAGCATGTAATATAACGTTAAATTACGTATAAAATACATATGTGGTATGTATAAGTAACATAAATTATAAACTCATGTGACTGAGTAGCAGGTATTAACTTATAGCCGCGGCTATCTCGTTTAGATTCGACAATCTGGTAGATATGGTCATTCTATACGATACTGCGTTTTATCGTAGTTTAGTTTTATCGTATATTTAAAATTTTGCCTGCAACAGATTTTCGTTCCTTGTGTGGGCGGAAGGGGGCGGTGCACAATTTCGAGATTCGCTTGTAGCAGTCTGGAAACAAAATTCGATTGCTCTAGCTCTAATTATTCTCTGAGATCTAGGCGCTCATCAAGACGGACAGACGGACAGACGGACAGAAGGACAGACAGACAGAAGAACAGAACGACAAACATGGCTATATCGACTCGGCTATTGATGCTGATCAAGAATATATATACTTTATGGGGTCGGAAACGATTTCTTCTCTGCGTTACACACATCCACTTTTACCACATATCTAATATACCCCGTAACTCTTTGAGTACGGGTATAAAAGGAAAGAAAGACAAACTTCGGAGACCAAAAACTGTATCGTACAGTTTTGATACCTTTGATGGGGTATAACATTAACAACAAATTTATTTAAATCTCTGACCCTTTGAAGTTTATGCATATGTTTGTATGTTCTTTACCAAGATGAAAATTCAAGAAGACATTGCAATTTTCATCGGTTATCTTTTCACATTTGTTTTTTTGTCCAATCATACATAGGATGTCTGAACATTTGCTGTCTGGGTGTCTGGGCCGGGGCGAGGTCGATACTGATGTACTGTATATACATAGATACCAATTAATAGAAGAGTGGGGAGAGGAGAGAATGTACATTTTTCATATTAGTGTAAATATATTTTCCTTGTGCGTATGATAAAAATACAACCACACACGTACAAATAGGTGTGTATATACGTTCATATGTACATATGTATTTATAGAAAGGCAAGCAACGAACCGTAATTCCTAAAACCACTAACACAATCAAGCCCAAACTGCCAGAACGAACACTATGGTGTAGAGTAGGTATAGTGCAAAGAGGCCTCACGACAGCACAGCCAAGCCAGGCGGCCCAGTGGGTATAACAAAAGTTGTGGAAAAGAGAAATATTTACTGAAAATGCAAAAACTGATCGCTATAAATGTTGTGAAATTGGTTTGATTTTTGACTGGACACACCAACTATACAGATTCTTAGATCTTGCACTGCTTAATACTTCCCTCCTGTTAAACATATAGCCCAACTGAAATCTAAATTTTTTGACATAATCCATTTATCAGCCAGTGTTGCATTACGGGCTGATAACTCTTCATAATTAGCTGATTTTTTGAGCAGAGATTTTATGACAGCTCTCCTGAGAGTCGAAAAGAAGCGCCTAGCTTTTGGAGACTATAAGAGATAGCGGAATAAAATGTTGTCTCCAGAGTATCGTACTATGTACATACATACACCTAGCGAAAGAAGGTCTGAAATTTTTAATATTTACACCAAGACTTAAAACATTTTATTTTACCATGCCATTTTTGTCTGAGTGTATGTGTCTGACTGATACGAGGGTGGTCAATTATTGATTTTATTAAAGAAACAGGGGTTTTGGGATAAGCAATACATTTTAATTTCCTTCGAGCTCTGTACCCTTGTACAACGTTTCCTCATAGGATAAGTCGAAATTCACAAAATAGGCATGTTTTTGTGAGATGAAAAAAATCCCTTTCTGCCGAGCCATTTCTTTAGATTCTTCAGATCTGATCGTATTTTATTCGCGATTTTAGGGGCATAGGCTTGTATATCGAACATTTACCAAATTAAGGGATATGGTGTTGGCCGATCGGACATTTTAAAACCCGAGAAACTTCTCATAATTACAAAACAAATATTTTTCGACGAAACTTGGACTTTAATGTCAAAACTCATATAAAAATGTAAGTTTTGAAATTTGATTCAAAAGCTCACCTGATTATGTTAACATGTTATGTACATGTAATTTATGCACTTGAATTGTTGATACATCGCGGTTATCGGTTTTTTTGCTTATTTTTTTGTAGCATTATTTGTACCCTGAATTTGTACAATTGTTTTGGGACCTTTACTGGGCGGCGTGCTGCTAAACTTTCGGAATCGTTTGTGCTTGTACGGCTACAACGTAATTAAGTAAACAAATTTTTTACCCTTAAAATTTACCAATATTTCATTTTTTTAAACACAAACTAATTGACGTAGCTTCTTCAAATTTTGACAGGAGTCAACTACAGATACCTGTTGATAAAAGCATAGCTGCCCTATCAGTTAAGAGGTGGTAAATTCAAAAAGTCATGGTTTCTGAACCAAGGCTTTGAAGCTTTGTGCAAAATTATAGAATACAAATTTGCACAAAAACGGATAGGCATACATATGTATAGTGCAACAAGTCGGCCCTGCAACAAAATTCGATACACTATTAAATATGTGACTTCTGTGCTCAATAATAAGGTTCAATAATACACGAAAGGTTAAGTAAAATGAAGGGTACAGGGCACAATCAATGGCTCCACGGTGGCTCCAAATCCATTTGAATGAAGGTGCTGTACAACAACATGGAACTACAACAACCATAGGGGTCCCACCACAATCAGCCCACAAAAAGCACGTATGGATAAATTATGTACACATTTGAACTTCGCGCTTACCTCACAGAGATGAGATGCCAGACAGTCAGAAAAGTCTGATCTTTTTTAAATCATAAGCACCCGATTCTTAGTCACACCCTGTTTGAGTTGCGAGTGTGTGTGAGCGTGCCCTGTGTGAGTTGCGTTTCTATGTGCACACATGCATGTTTCATATTGTTTCATATTCATGAAATGGCCGTTATGTTTTGACACTTCAGTTTATATCCAGCAGTCTAGCGGATAGAGACAACCGATCGAATAGTGCCAACTTAGATTATCTTAAAACTAGTTTAGCCCTGCCTAAATAAAGTAGTGATTTTGGATTTAGGCTATCGATCGTGCAATTACGCGCTTTTTGTTTTATTCTCTCTTCCAACTGACACACCCACACTAACGAAATGCAAAATATTTTGTTTAATTTGTTTCAGATTTATGCAGAGCAACGTGTAAGAATGGACAAACTGTTGAGGGCCATACGATATGTCCAGCGGAAACCCTACAGGATGTAGACTCTGGACACGTAAACTTGATGGGGAATCTGCAGAAATATAAGAACCGGCCCTTTTACGTTCTTATAGATGAGCTGCATTTCAAAGATCTGGGGGTAATTAGCTAAGAATAATATGTAATATCATTAAAATAAATAAATAAGTCCATATTTCAGGGCTGCAACTGGAACCAAATGTTTAACCAAGTGTACCTTTTGGTGGTAAGTAATTTTCATTTGTATGCAGTATATACGCTACAGGGCAGTGTAAACACATCGCCCACACATGGCTTTCATTTTTTTGTCAGTGTGAGATGCAAGAACCACTCACACAAACACGTTCGTTGAGAGCGAGAGTCGCGACTCCTGTTTCAGCAATTCCTTTTGGATCCTTCTATATATGTATATATGTATGCCTGCACACGTATTCTCTCACATGATTTTGTACTTTCTCAAAACATACACTTCTTTTTAAATTTTGTATGGTGCTATGACACTTTCTGAAGATATTTGCTCGGATTCATTTATCAATATTATTATTACTTTTTTTATACCCGTACTCAAAGAGTTAAGGGATATACTGTATTTGTGGTAAAAGTGGATGTGTGTAACGCAGAGAAGGAAACCCCATAAAGTATATATATTTTTGATCAGCATCAATAGCTGAGTCGATATAGCCATGTATGTCTGTCTGTCCGTCTGTTCGTCCTGGTGAGCGCCTAGTTCTCAGAGACTTCTCACAAATTTATATACTGACTGAGTACGGGTATAAAAGTAGAGTCGCGTCCAGAAGCGACTAACACGTTCCTTTTCGTTTTAATATAGCATGTACGAACTATATGCGGATACATGTACGTACATTATATATAAGATTTAAGATATACAAATTTTGGGTCCAATTTATAGCTACATTTATCAGCCTTTTAGATTTGCAAATTTAATTATATTCATTCAATAAAAAAAAGTAATGCCTTTATGATTATATTATATATTCAATAGGGACCAGCAGTTGCCGGTTACGTACTTGGTCGGGACGAAATCCACAGTACTGTAAAAAAGGTGGTGCAGAAGGTAATTGACAATGGTGACGGAAAACTGATGATACTATTCTAAATCAATTGTACCACACGGTCTTAGAATCGGACTGGGAAGAGCAGTGCCCAACCGAAGTGAATCCGAACACGTCCGCGTTGCTTGCGAGTGGGAGTTGAGCACGATGCGAGGGTGGTGCTGAAACGAAAATTCAATGTGAGTCAAGAGCCATTCAGCTTTCAATTCTGCAAAAACAACACTTGCATCCTGAAATCTTCTTTAATCCACCTACTGCCATCCCCTTCATGACCAGAATTTTCCGAGTTCTGGTCTCTTCGTGAGTGAAGGTGGATTGGGGCCCCAAGAAATGCAGTGGATTGTGCCTATTGGGGACACCACTTAAAAAAAAAACGCACCTACATCTCTACCTCATGGGTGGTGGGGAAAAAGGATGATTTAATTTAGGTACATATGTACATACGTACATACTGTATTATATACATATACAAGTTTCTAACACTTTAAGATATTATTAGATATATGTAGCTATCCTCACTCATCGTTTTCTGCACCTTGAAGAGCCGGCTCGTTTAATGTGAACGCGTTTTAATCACCCACAGATTCGACTCGATACTCCAACTCGTCATCTGTAAAAAAAGTGCTTTGGGTATGGCGTTTTCTCTTGGAGATCAGAATTAGAGTGTCACTTACTTGAGTGCTTGGGAATCCAAGATTTGGTCATATTCAGATGCCTGGTCACTTGTATGTCGACGGCATAGTTCTTCCAGTACCAGGAGACTGAGGATATGACCGATCAGCCTCGGCGTTCTTCTGAAAGTACACGTAGGGTCGTGCTGATTCTGCCATTTCATTAGCTGCCCACAGGCAGCCGCCAAAAAAACTCTAATACTCAATGTCCGCTTAGTCTCGTTTTCTTCTACCTGGGAGCCGTCTTTGGGATCCGATCCATGTTGGCAACCGATTCAGCACGAAAAAGTTGAGCAGCTCATAGGCAGCAGTCCGATTCTCGTGCACCAGCTTGATGTTGTCGGAAGACGTTGTCGCAATATATATAGACATATAACTCCTCCATCTCCATGAAATTATTGTTTAATTTTTTCTGCAAGACCACGCACACTCGCAAATCAAACAGAGCATGTGAACATAAAGTTCTGGTAAGACTTTAGGGACGTATATTACATATTTAAAATCCAATTTACCTTATGCATTAAAATTGCGGACAAACGGTATTGGAATATATATATGAAATTCTCCTATTGAAAATGAAATTTCCAGTTCGATTTTTCCCAATTGTGCACAAACGGTATTGGAATTATACAAATCCAATTGGAGCTCACTTTTTTGACGAATAAATGAGACGCTCAATGGTAAGTTGAACTTTTCATTGCGCCGAAAGGATAAGGGTATGACGTCACAAAATCCAGAGCTTTCAAGGAAAAAACCCACCTCACCACATAACTCATGATTTTGTGCTTTCGCGCACCCATGGTATATTTAGTCCATCGGGGCTAGGGTGAGGTCCTTACGAGACACTTAAAAAAAGTTCTGGCCGTCTTAATATTCGGGCCATACCTTGCCATGACCCAGTCGAAAGAGAGCACTCAAAACGCTCTCCGGACTCATTTCTGCGTTTAAATTGTGAGCCACCTGTAGATGGTAAGTTAGAGGTGTCAAACCATCGAGGGCACTATCGATAGTATCGATATTTTACTGCTAGCCTCTACTATCGACGGTTTTGCGACTATCATGATAGTATCGAGCTACAGTCGTTGCACTTTTGATATGTTTGGATTGGCTGCTATAAAATACGAAGACACATTTGTAGACAAATCGACAGGTGGCATCTAATTTTTACAATGGACAAGTCCTAAAAGGTTTCAATGTTTTTTTGATAATTATTTGAGCCCGATACATTTACGATAGTATCGTTAGTTTTTTTTCAAAACATTCAACGTTGATATTCCTCGAATTTGATATTCGGTTTAATATTACTAGCTAGTTGGCCCTCTCAGCCCTAAACATATAATTTTTTCCGATAGATACATATATTTTCTACAAGATTGGCAAGCTTTTAGAAGTCCTTTTTATTGGATTATTTACATATTAAGGTTCAAACAAAAACAACATAAAACGAATGTGACGTCGTTTTGTGGCGTTGCCAGACTCGTGCAATTCGTAGTTGCTGCGGGCTGCCATACCATGATATTTTGTGATATGAAATTCGTCAATTTTGATATTCAGTTTAATATTACTAGCTAGTTAACACTCTCAGCCCTTAACAAATAATTTTATCCAATTCCTCAATGAATTTTGTTCAGGATTGGCTAGGTTTCAGAATTCTTTTTCATTGGATTGTTTACATAATAAGGTTCAAACAAAAACGGCCAAAGTATAAAACGTAAATTTTGACTAAATGTGACGTCAGTGTTGCTGGTCAACCAAGTTTCTTCTATGCGTATGTACTTTTGTATACCTTATTTCTTTTAATAGGTGTTAAATGTTTTGTTCCAAGCTCCATTGAAACATTATTTATGATTTTATCCTAGATTGACATGATTTTTACCTATTAATTGTAACGAATCGCATTCCAACTCATTATTCTCAGGCGCGGTGTTGGGCATGGGAGAGAGAGGAGCACGCTGTATGTTCCGGCTCAGGCTCGTCGGCTAGGGGGGTGGTGATCTTGCTCCCCTCCCATGATCGGCCTTTCTTCACTATAATATCCTAAATAAGTTGCGTGCTAGGGACAAGCGAAAACCGGGATAGAGAATCCCACTTACTTCCGACCAACAAACAACACTAAAGGGAATGGAACTACTCCGCTGCACCTGCTGGTTCTCCTACTACGACCTCAGGTGTTGATGAGGCGTAACATGCCCACCCTACCGATGGCCATTCTGCCCCCTGGCCCACATCCGAATGGCCCCTTTTTCCTCGCGCCGATCGATGCTAAGCCTTCGACTCAATTAACGGACCTATGCATTGTTTGCCGCTTTTAATCGGACCTGAGTAATAATAAAAAAAATTCCCACTCATACCTTTTATGCACCTCTAATTTAACTCAATTATCAAACTATATTTTTTTTTTCTTCAACACTTCACTTAATTCTACTGTCTTCTCATTTCTCCACTCCTGTCTTCCTCCTCTTCCTTCTTTAAGGTGGAAAGAAGACTTGAAAAAACTGTTCTTTCTTCCGCCGCCTTAAACTTTTATCCAGCAACGATCAAGACTTGGCTCCTGCGGTTATGTACTGGCCTCTTCTTCTACCGATGGTGGGAGGTGTTGGGGACGTTAGGGAACGGGAATCATACACTGCAGCACACATATATTTATGCACTCCTCGATGCACCCGCCGGTATATATGCCGACGCCTGGCTGTTCGACACTAAATCCAGCTCGACTTGATACGCCTGCGCACGCTTCTCCGCTCTGCCGAGCGCGTTTGGTTGCAGCCAACAACAACAAATAAATGCGCTTTTAATTCCGTTTGGCTTTTCTGCTGCTGCTGCTTGTTTGCCAGCTTGGACTGGTTGCATCCGCAACTCAACACAGTTTTTATGGAGTTTTTGTTAAGCGCCAAGACTAAGAAAAAAAGATTTTTTGACTTCTTTTCTCCCCATTGCTTTCCCCTGACCCTGACAAACGGACTCAGCGCTATCTGGGTTTTCCGGTGGTCACACTACCTTCACCCTCTTCAAACTCGGCACAATCACAGTAACAAATAGTATCAAAAAACTTAACAACCAGTACAGGGGAGCAAATTATCGCCCTTATTGCGGCCACTACACAACCGGCTTGATCGACTTTATAGAGGGAATTGACGAGATGGACGCTAGCGTTCTGGCGCCAAGTCCTCTAACAGGTCCACGGCATAAGAGAGAGTTGACATTTGAACCTGTTAGCGCATTTACTTTCCGCCTTGACCTTATATTCGCTAACCCACTTGAGCACTAGATGCCGCCACCACAACCCACCTATTTTTCCTACTACAAGCGCTACATAATGCACATGTTTGTGTTTTATATATACTTTTATCCCGGTTCTGATACCTATTATTGGAAACCGTAAGCTGTAAAATTTCGTCTTTAATGTCTTTAAAACAGAGACTGAGTAGTTTCTGCATTAATTGGAGCCTGAAATTACAAACAATATCTCAAGTCCATAATATCCATTTTCCCAAGGTATGCAGATTGTTGCTCATTCGTTCCAAAGTTGCACAACAATGCTGCTCTACTTCATTGCCCCATGTTGCTGAATTTTTTCCCATACAAATCAAATGTATCTTACGGGAATGACGCAACAATGAGTCTTCATTCCAAATAAAACCCGTAATTTTAAATATTAATCATTTTTAAATTTCGACGATAATAATTTGTATCAGACTCGCCGTATTTCTACCAGAATGTGGCCGAGCAACATAAAAATGTCCTAGCAACATTTTGAATATAAGTCCCAAAAGAGTAGAATGTCCCAAAAATCAGCACCAACCAATGAAAAATGGTTGAAATTTTGGTACAGTTTCAGTATTTATTGGTAAAATGGAATTGTTTTCATTTCATACCAAGCCAATTATCCAGAAATTCTGTCGGATATGTTTCCATCATAACCTGAGTATGACAGACCCCAGGGACTGACCATGACTAGGAATTTATTATTTACTATTTTACTGTAACTATTTTTACTATTATTTTAAGCTACTACTTGCTTAAGTTTTACATGTATTTGATATACAATAATAAAATTTATCTTTTTGTACCCAAAAAATACTTTTCGATATAAAATCCGTTACAAAATTAACGGTTTACCTTACGCGTTTCCAACTTTCAGCCAATCAAATCGTTCGAAATTTACTGTAAACATTTGTTGCTACGCGTTCCCGTAAGATACATGTTTCTCACACCACGAAAACGCTCTCTTCACCTCTGAAAAGAGAGAAAATTTTGAAAACCCACCACGAATTGAGTTTGGCGGTCATTTTCCAATGTACATACATATATGGAAAAATAAATAGTTCACTTGATTTGTTTTGTCGAGTGTGACTGGAACCTCAGAAACCTCAGAAGCCGAGAAAAAAAATAGATTAGACCCGCTCTATTTAATCAGGTTAGTAAACAGTAAATATCAACAAAAAAATAATTAATAATTAATATTTATTTGAGCCCGATACTATCACGATAGTATCGATTGTTTTTTTTTCAAAACATTCAAAACTATCGATTGCTCAACTATCAATCGTTTGACAGCTCTAGTCCGTCCAAAAAATGTGTGGTTAAATTGAAGCCGGTGTCACCACACAACTAAAAACTGTATTCAGAAAATACTTTTGTGCGGTCACATTATATCGGTATCGAATACTCGAATTGTCACTCTGACAAAAGCACGCCGTCATGAAACGCTCGTTTCCATAGACCCCTTAAAGTATGCAATGTCATTTAGTCAAGCCCAAACTGCTATAGTGCAAAGAGGCCTCAAGAAAGCACAGACGGCCCCAGTGGGTACAAAAAAATAAATAAATAATAAATATAAATATAAATATAAATATGTGTGATGTGATCGTAGTATACGTGTGAAAATCTAACATTATAATTGTTTTACAGTGAAAGGTTTTGAAAATGCGTATGGCTTTTTCAAAAGCCCCAATAAAGGTGAAAACACATAATTTTAAGCAATTTAATAAACATTAGGATTTCATGTTTTCGTTAAAGGAAAATACTTGCAATTAACTTTCACAACCACGTAACGATTCCTTGTCGACGCCGATATATTTTTTACTTGCTCTTTCCGCTGGCACTTATACAGCCGCCACTGGCGTCGCCTCGTCGCATCCTTTTGTCTGAGTGTCGCTTCATAAGCTTTCGCTGGTGTCTGAAGCTCGAAGCTTCTTGTGTCTGTGCGTGTCTGTGAGTGTTTGCGAGCGCGGGTCTGTCTGCTTGAACTTCCGTTATGTGATACACGTAATAAAAGGATAACTAAGGCAAGGAAGGCGACTGTCGGCTTCGCGAATTATAGCTATTCAATTTGAGAGTAGTGTAGTAGACGTATAACATTTTAATATGCTTGCTGTGGGCGGCAAAATACGTATTCGTAAACTTTTCTCCAACAAAATTCAGAATCTGTAAAAAAACGAGCTAAAAGATTGATATTGAATTCAAGAAAGAAGATTTTTTCGGCACTATTCGTTGAGCTACAATGCTTTAAAATAGACGAGCTGATGGACAGACAGACTAACATATCTTGTCACTCTGATCACCTATTGGATAATTCATAATTGATCCACTTGATAGAACCGCAAAACTGTGCATTTCAAGAATCGGACCTATTATATAACGGGGATTTGGATTTTTTGCTGTTGGCTGCAACCTTTTAAGAAATAACGAAGTTGCCACAACAACCTGTTTTTGCAGCGATCCGGACAATTTATTCTTGCATATGTATATATAGATTTTAAAATTAGGTACTAGCTTAATAAAAAAACAAACGGACTGCCACGCATGTCCATATCGCCTCACATTGCAAGCTGCAAGGTCATAATCGATTCATACATATATACATATATATTTTTTTTAGCAATTAGAAGCTATATTTCGAATATTACTCACTTTAATATTTTCTACAGACCAAGAATGGAAATTCTTTTCGATGGAAATTCTTTACCAAGAATATAAAACTACCGATGGTTATAAACTTTAAAGGAAACAGCTCCATAAGTAACCAAAATGAGGTTTGTCCTTGAGCCTCAGCATTCGCAGTCAGGGCGATTAATAAATAGCAACAGATGCTTCTACAATTGTCCATGCCTTTGTTGTCGGCAGGGATGCTGCGTCATTGTTGTGGGCTGCTGCTGCTGCTGCGTCAACATCAACAACTGCTGCAACAAATGCAGCTCGAGGACCTGCTACTCTCCACCGCCACTAGCGCGCAAAAAAGCTTGTGGTCCTGTTGGTTTGGTCGTATCCATTGTCGTGGGTACTATTATCGCGCTCGCTCGTTGGACAACGGCCATAGCCACTCTTATATCAAGCTGCATGCTAATAGAGCTCTGCGGAAAAGGAAGCTGTACCAACAATCCCGTTCCGGTCCCCGTTACAGTTCCTACTGCAGCCAGCGCCACTGCCAGCAGCAATACGGATGCCAAGCTTAAATCTCTCTATGGCCATAGTTCTTACGATATCACTAATGATCAGCAACTGAAATCGAAGAATCTTTGCAAAATGTTTTGCAACAGTCGCAATCGCAAGCGACAGCGCCGAAGGCGACGACGCCGCAGGCGACGTAGTAGGCACAGCCATAATGGTAACAGAACGAATAGCAACAAACAGCAGCAACAACAGCACCACCAAACGCAACAGCAGGAAAGTATATTCCGACAGAGACTTAGTTATAGCCTTAGCGCTGACACATGCGCTTCCATAGATGCATTAAAAGCGATTGACGCATCTTTACCAAACACGAATCGGCTCCGAAGCATGCCAACGAGAAACGTTCGAGTATCCTCTTTAAAAGCTATCATATCGTCGTGGCCATCGGCGAATAGCAGCACAATACGTCACTGTTCCAAGATTAAACGTAATCGAGCCAATCTCATCTGGCTACTCATTGGACTTGTCTGGTTTGAGGTGAAACTAATTAACTGCAATGCCATCGGAAGCAGCAGTAGCTATGTCTCCAATTTTGTGACTCATAAGGGATGTACCATATGTCATGAGGAAGGCAAAGCCAATTTCTACAGCGATAAAGGTAAGTCTCTGACTCTTAACTTGCGCTTTTACTGGTATTTCCACATCTAACATATTCATTGACACCACTGAAATGAAATCAAAGCTTTAGGGATGTAATCAAAAAAGCTTTTTTTTAACTATTGAAATTTCTAATGACAAAGAATTTTTTTATTAAAGTATTATTATTAAATTATTAGTATAATGAAATCTATAGACAATAAGATATACAGACGAGCAGTCGAAGTAGAGGTAAAGGTCAAGTGACATTTGATTCCAAGCAAAAGACCGGTTTAAAGTTTTAATACAAAATTCGAATAAAATAATCTTTAAGAAGGCACTGTACTTGTATTTTTGGATAAGGAACTAATTTGTTGTACGGTTTTGACAGTAAATATCTCGTTATTTCCCAAAATTTCAACTAATTTAAGTCACTCTTACAATCCGTTAAATAATTTCTCTCCATTCATCACTCATACCACCCCTACATTAAACTAACACTCAAACTTAATTTTAAGAATAGCTATGTGGTAAAAAACATAAGCTGGCTTCTAGGCCAGTCTAAGCCATACAGTCAGTTATACAATCACCTAATTTTATTTATTTTCGGCTAAGGCATGTACTATATCTATAAAAACAAATTTTCCAACGATTGCACTGTGGAAAAAAAGTCGAAAATTTTGGCATTTATTCTAAAAATGAAGATATCTACAAATTTGCACGAATGCTCGTTAGACTAAAGTAGAATTTCGGAAAACAAATTTAGACTTTTGAGGCTCGCCCTCTTTCTGCCCCCATACTAACTAATCCCCATACTAAGCCAATTGATTGGCTAAATTTTCGTCAGAAAAATAAAATTGTCTTTAAGCGATATGCTCTTTGACCGATATATAATATATTGAACCGATATGTATCCCTTGATACTGAGAATACCTGTACGTATGAAACTGCTCGCTTCTACTTTTGGTTAAAGTGTTTCCACACAAACATATTGCACCGAAAGTCAAAATCAAAAAAGCTCGCAACCATATCGGCGATGATATCCAAACCTGCAAATGATTCGAACGCATTGAACTAACATGCATATAGCCGAAGTGGCGATGGATATAGCCGAAGATTGTTTTCGTCTCTTGTTAATTAATGAAATATTGACTTTAAATATTATTTATCTCATACCCCATACAGTACTCATACAACAACAACAAAACGTTTTTAACTTACATAACACTTTACAATTATCACATTTACACAGATAATCCACACACAGACTACAACAGCTACAACAAGTACAATAACAACAATTATTTCTACAAAAAAACTAATCGCCCCCATAACAATATTGCACCGAGCGACCGTGTTCGCTTAGAGTCAATAAAACGGCAAATTTTGACGAAACTTGGCCTTACCCACAAGCCAAACGTATCTCATCCTTTACCCAAGCAATTTATTTGGGAAACAATATATCGGGCGGATGGTGGAAGGATGGTTTCTAACGATGCATTTGACAGCAGCAGTAGCGATTTCGATCAGCGTTCGCGATTGCGGGAATTATCCCCATCCGAAATACATAGGTTCAATGAACAAGACGGGACGGTTTTTGCTACTAGTGATCCAGATCCCCATCAGGATCGATATCGCTCTCCGGTTTCATATACATTTAACATCAGTAGAAGCCATATATATGAGAAATTCATGAGAGATCGAACAGCGATCCGAGCAAGGCAAAAGAATCACGAAGACGATGTGAAAAGTATAACCTTTAAGAATTGGCCAGATATACGCCCATTTAAAATGAACCCTCGCAGCGGGTCTACGGCTACACACCAACCCAAAAATGTCGATACCACTACCACTGCCACTAAACAGCAGAGAAATGGTCATCGCAGTGACAGCAGGAATAGCAATGGCATCAGTGACAGAAAAGGCAATTCGAATGAGTTCAGAAAATCTACATATCTGATAGATATAAATCGTAGTAGTGATAGTAGGGCCAATATTGGCATTAACGGCGGGATCAAACAAAATGATCATGTTTATTTTAACGATTACAGTGTTCAGGTCCATGATAAAATCCAGTACGACTCCCTCCATGGAAGCAGCAACAGAAACGGACAGAATCCAATAAACATCGACTTTTTCAGTGGTAATAACGAGGATGGAAAACCTAAGCGGAACGACGACTCGGTCATGTCAGACCAAGAAAACTTTGATCGTGAAGACTTCTTTGGGAACACTCAGGAAATAATTACGTTTGCTGAAGAAGGTAAGTGAACGGACAAGTGCTATCTGGCATGTACCCGATAGGAACGAGTCACTTTCTCTCCCCCGAGAGCTCACCACCATATATTATATAGAAAATTGACCATACGTAAAACCATTCTCAGCATGTCTACCATTAGTTTCAAATACAAGTAATGGTCTTGTCGTCTCATTTTCAAGGCACTCAACTATAGTGTGTTTTTTTCATTTATTATTTATTTATTATATTGCTCTTTAGCGCTATAGACCGCATCTTAATATTCTAGGTAACCAATCCATAGACCATATAAGCGTCGCTAACATTATGCAGGAACATACTAGCATATACATACATACGTCCATATGTATGTATGGGAAATACATACGAATGTATTTATGTATACTATGTCCCCATGCTCATTTCAATGTAATATCAAATGTCAGTTTGTGGCCTCTTATGTAAGAACGTCTGCGTCTGGACTAACACCGTGACAACCCTTAAAACACTTACATACGTCGTCTAAGTACTTAGTTATTGCAGACAGAGGCAGTGTCTGTTGTATGATGTTTGAAGTACTTTCACAATTGTCCCAAGAAGTGAAAGGAACACCATCCCATTCCATCCCATCCCATCCCATCAGACTATTAAGACGGTTAATAATGCAGAAGCTTACTGTACTGAATGCTAAATTCAAAACTCTAAATACATACAATTTTCGAGTATGTGGTGTAAACACATTTCCATATATTTTTGGGTGATCAAAAGCAATCAGTATACTCAGGTACTGATGAATTATACACATATGTAAATGAAACCTTCGATCTCAACACTTCTGGCATTGTACGGAATTCGTATTGAACGGTACAAATTATCACTATTTTTGTATCCTATAGGAACGCAATATAGACAATATCGAATATTGGAATTTGCTCCACAAAAAGAGCGTGTTCCTAGCCAAAAACTTTACATACGCAGCGCTCAGATACACATTCGCATCGATAAGCCACCCAGTTACTGGGATGCAAAACCTGAGGAGAATTTACAGGTTGAACATTTGACAAACGCTAAACGGAAGTGGCAAGCAAGCTCACACCATAGAATCAAAATCTGGGTGTTTCAACTGACAGCAGGAATAAATATTACTGAGAAGGTAAGTGAAGCAAACACTATACTATAAATATACCTATCTCAGATACAAAACAAAACTTACCTATTTTAGGGAATCGACCAGGCGTTCCTGTTCCGTGCATCTTTTAATGTGGACACCAAGCACCTGGGATGGCAGAAATTCGATCTTACTGAGACAATCCGCAAATGGTATAGCCAAAACAGTGAAGAAAATTTACGACTTTTGATTGACTGTACCGGCTGCGGTCGCCGGTACTCACTTCAATTATTCCGAATTTCGATGCCAAGTTCTAACTCAAAAATGGATAATTCAGACCATATAAATCCGAATCCAAATCGACCATTTCTCGTTCTTCATACTGAATCAACAAGGAATCGTCGTGTAAGGAGACGCGCCGTTGATTGTGGGGGTGCTTTAAGTGGGCAATGTTGCAAAGAGTCATTCTATGTATCCTTTAAAGCACTGGGCTGGGATGACTGGATCATTGCGCCTAGAGGATACTTTGCAAATTATTGCAGAGGTGATTGTACGGGACCGTTTAGGACACCCGATACCTTTCAAACATTTCACGCCCATTTTATAGAAGAGTATCGAAAAATGGGACTACTAAATGGCATGCGACCCTGTTGCGCCCCAGTTAAGTTCTCCAGCATGTCTTTAATATATTATGGAGATGATGGTATTATCAAACGTGATTTACCAAAAATGGTCGTCGATGAATGTGGCTGCCCGTAACGTAAGTTCCAATGAAATACTCCTATTTACAAACGTTTAATATATTTAATCTTTTTGTACATAGCTTGCAACGAGATTTGCCTTTTATTACTTCGATTTTCCGTCCGGTAAATTTAGGAGCTTTCTGCCGAATTTTATGGCAATTAATAAAACTATGTGTGCTCCTAAAATATATTCTTAAATCTGAAGAAACTTATTGTTATTCAAATAGATTAGACTCAATTGAATTGTATTGTAAGTTAGAATAATGATGACAATATATGTATGTATATATATTTAATATCTTATTCGAAATTACAAAAGTGCCTAAATTAGCAACAAATATTATACCTAAAACATGCATGCAAATTTATATTCAAAGAATTTACTGAGTTTAGTGAAAACGCTCTCTTGGCACTGAGAAGTTTAATCTTGCTGATATCTATAGCACATTGGAGTCTTAATAGAATATTGACAACAAATACTATTAAACAGCATATACAATTAAATTAATATAAACAAATCCCTGGTTTTTTCTTAAATTTGGAAATTTTCGCAAATAGCCGCAAAAAAATATCTTAGAGCCATTTACGTGTCAGTGTTTTTATCCATGAAGGCTAGAAGGGTACGGTTTTGATTAGTTGTTGTTATACACAAAAGTTTTTTTTACTTTACTTTTTCTGCATGTAGTATATTCGTCAAATGAGTACGGATATGAGGAAGCGCCAGTATATAAATGAAATATGTAGATGTATATATTAGAAGGCACTCGCTTGCCTAGTTTGCCACTCCCTGACCCGGCAAATCATTTGTCGCAATATTGTGAACTATTTCTGTTGCTTCGAAGGTTGTCACTTGAAAGCGGAATTATAATGTGCGTTATAAATTAGTTTGAACTTTTCATGACGCACAACACATTCTACTTGACTCATATCGGTGTTTGAACGCAATACAATATGGACTATGTGATTCACTATGTGTCAGCACTTTCGGATGAGCAGAATATTCAATATCTGGGTCGGACTTAAATGCTCGATTAATTTGTATGCGTTGTCAATCTAATGTTCTCGGAGAGTGTCAGTTATCTAACAGCGAGCTTGTCTCCGTTCCAATTGTCATTGTTGATTTCGTTCATTTCGTTTCTCTTGTGATGGAGAATCCCGTAATTGCGACATGCTCACACGCATATTTCCGTTGTTTTTTTGGATTCTATCTGTTCTACTATTTCGCATGTTTCTTGCTCCAAAGAGAGATAAAATTACGTGTACTTGATTCTGTTTACATTTTGTATGGGATATTTCGATATTGTTCATACAAAAATACTAAAATCCAGAATAAACAGGAGGGAACGTTATGAGTCGCAGTCTCTAATTTTATACCAGTACTCAGTCAGTATAAGGTCAAAATCGAAGACTGTTAAGTTATATCCGCACGCATATTTTAACGAAAATTGTCTCAAAAACACATGAAAATGTGTTTTTTCAATATATTAATATATTGAATTACAAATTTTAAATCTGTATTAAGTTTTTATGTCCATATACATTTTTCTGTACGCGTTGTTATTTAAGAGAACGTCTCAAATGGACTGTTACGTTAAACATTTTTGGAAGTAGGTTTTATAGGTGCGCAACACTTTCAAAAAAGTCTGCTCTTCTAGTTGACTATTTTTAACAAGTAGTACATAATTGTATACATATTTTTTAGCTTAGGGATGGAAGTAATAAAGTAAATTTCTTTAATGCCAAACCAAATTTTTCTTTTTTTGACAAGCAAAAATTTTTGGACTGTTACGTTACATGTGCAACCTTCGGTTATTAAACTTCATGAAAAATAGTTTCTGAAGTGAAAACAATAACACAATTATACAATTTTCAAATATTCAACTAATGATCAATCCATTAATAACATGAATTTGATGCGCTGACAATATTATGGACACTTTTCGTGCTATTAAACATCGCAAGTGTGTTTAAAAATTATTTATATCAGAAAAATCATAACACTAGTCAACACGATTTTTCCTCAAGGAACAAAACGAACTTTTCTTAAAGATTTGGGGCTTAGAAATGGTTTGATGATATTTTTTTATACGCGTACTCAAAAAAGAGTTAAGGGGTATATTAGATTTGTGGTAAAAGTGGATGTGTGTAACGCAGAGGAGGAAAATTTTCCGACCCCATAAAGTTTATATATTCTTGATCAGCATCAATAGCCGAGTCGAAATAGCCATGTCTGTCTGTCCGTCCGTCCGTCCGTCCGTCTTGTTGAGCGCCTGGATCTCAGAGACTATAAAAGCTAGGGCAACCAAATTTGGTTTCCACACTCATGTGATATCACACTGCTACAAGTGTATTTCGCCCCGCCCCCTTCCGCCCCCACAAAGAACGAAAATCTGTGGCAGGCACAATTTTAAAGATACGATAAAACTAAAAACGCAGTATCGTAGAGAATGCCCATATCTACCAGATTGCCAAATCTGAATCAGATCGGATCATAATTATTATAGCCAGAATGAAGAAATTAATTTTCTGTTGCTTCCCCTGCCCCCTCCTGCCCACAACATCGCAACTCATTTTCCTTCTCGCTCGCACACTCTGCCGCGTTCAGTGCGCGAGCAACCCCTAGCGGAGGAGAAGTAGAATATGAATGGTACATCTATAATCTACATGTAAGATGTAAAATATACATTGTTGATGTAGATGTAGATAACAGATGTATCAAAAAAATTTAAAATGTAAAATTATTTTTTTTTTTAATTCTAAATAATTATATGCTCAAATTATATATGCTGACTGAGTACGGGTATAAGTAGAGTCCCCAGAAGCGACTCACACGTTCCTTCTCGTTTTTTCTATGGCATAACTTTTTTTTAAGAATTTTTGAAGTCTGGTATTTTTTTTTAAGCTTTTTTCAGAGGTAGCGCTTGTTTTTTTCACATAAGTCTAGTATCTTACGTCTGGTTGTAAAGAACTTTGCTATTTTGAAAAGATAATTAAAACAGCTAGAAGTTGAGCCCAAACACTTTGTGATTTCAGCTTACCGTCTGGGAAATATAAAGCATTGAAATGCAAAGATTATGATTTTTGTACGGTATTTTATACGAAATTTTGACTTTAAAAACTCAGGAAAAGTCGAAAAAAGCAAACGAAAAAGGGTTGTACATTTGGTACCTAATCGCGTTCCTTTGTTCCCAATGGGCAGTTGGGCTCGCAACCTTCCAAAAGGTATTTTTTGTTCATTTTTTCCATATTTTACCTCTGAAAAAAGCTTAAAATAAAAATACCAGACTTAAAAAATTCTTCAAAAAAAGTTCTGCCATAGAAAAAAAACCATAATTCTTAAAAAAATTTTAAAGTCCCATATCTATCAAAAAAAGTCGGTTTGGATCCTTGAGGAAAAAAAAGTTCGATTTTGTCGAGTAGTGTAATCAGTAACCTCTTCGATGGTGATTTTCGATTCTGAGCGATTAAATGCAGCTACATATTTGATTATTGATGAAAAAGACTTACGTTACAAATTGAATTCGTCTCAGAACAAAGACAGAAATGAATATATTGCTAATATAATGTGTTATTCAAACGAAGGCTAAACATTTTTTAAATGAAGCTTACATCTACAATGTTTTTTGGTTTTTCTCGTATCTTCAAAATTGTGGCAAAAGTAGGAGGGGCGAAATTTTGAATATCACTTATGATACTTAATGGATTCGGAAACGTTTTACTTTTGTGCGTTACACACATCCACTTCGACTACAAATCTGATATACCCCTTTACTTTTCAAATACGGGTATAATGCGCAAATAGAACAAAACCGTCAAAGACTATTATATCAAGTTTTGATCCATTTTGTAAAATCTTTGGTCAAATTATTGTGTTAAACTTTGATGTTAACAATGAAAACGAGGAGGAACGTGTGAGTCGCATCTGGGGACGCGACTCTACTTATACCCGCACTCAATCAGTATATACATTTTTTGCTACATCTGTTATCTACATCTACAATGTATATTCTACAACTAACAAGTATATTCTACATATACCATTTAGATTATACATCATCTCCCCAGTGGGCTCTCGCGTACATAACGAGGCAGAGTGTGCGAGCGAGAAAGAGAATGAGTAGCGGGTCTCTTGCTGCAGGAAGCGGGGGAAGCAACTGAAAATTAATTCTTCATTCTGGCTATAGTTATGATCCGATCTGATTCAGATTCAGCAATCTGGTAGATATGGTCATTCTCTACGATACTGCGTCTTAAGTTTTATTATATCTTTAAAATTGTGCCAGCCACAGATTTTCGTCTTTTGTGGGGGCGGAAGGGGGCTTGGCGAAATTTTGAAATACACTTGTATCACATGAGTCTGGAAACAAATTTTGGTTGCTCTAGCTCTTATAGTCTCTGAGATCTGGGCGCTCATCGAGACAGACAGACGGACATGGCTATTCGACTCGGCTATTGATGCTGATCAAGAATATATATACTTTATGGGGTCGGAAACGTTTCCTTCTCTGCGTTGCACACATCCACTTTTTCCACAAATCTAATATAAACCTTAACTCTTGTTTGAGTACGGGTATAAAAATAAAAAATACCCTTTTTTGGTCAAATTTTGGCCCAGTCTAATGTATATGTATGCATGTACAATTTCTAACCCCCATAACTCACAGATTTAACTAACTTCAAAAAGATCACTTTCTATGGATACCGAAAAATCAACATCAACGGTACTACACATGCCGGCCTTGAGGAAAAAATGCCATATATCTAAACAACAGCATAAATTTGAATAGTGTACCATGTGGTATCAATATTACAAATTGCAGACTATCTTTGCTTAGCTTCCCAAAAAAGGTGACAGACTTGGATTTGGATCAACTAAAAATACACAGCTCATTATTACACCAACATACAACAAAATAATTTTTAACTAACAACTTTTACTTCAATTGATTTACCAAATACATTTACGTAATATGTAGATGTGGCAATCAGACTAAAACATTTTATTACATATAGCGCAAACATTAAGACAGCCAATATTAAAAAATCATGTTAGTTTAGATTTAGCTTTTGCTAATAAATAAAAATAGAAATTATGGGAACAGTTTTCAAATTCCATCTTTTTACTTAAATAAGCCCGTTTTTTTAAAATCTCAAACTCATAACTCAACAAGCCTTGGTTACGAATATCAATAGAAATGTTTTAATGCTCACGGATTGTGGTCGAACAAACTATACAAATTTCAGAACACTTCTTTATTCACATGTGATAACCAAGTGCACTCACTCCTAGTTTTTTAGTCCAAAAGGCAACCATTTATTTTCGCTTTATTTTTGGATGAAAAATATTCATGTGTTTGTACGTTCGAGTATTTGCTTACGACTCTTTCAAGATGTGGTTAATGCAACAGGTAGAACGTTCATCAACATATTACTATTAAAGAAAGATATTGTAGGTGAAATATAATTATACAAAATACACCATTCCAGAAGTAACATTTTTCCGAACTGTAATTTTTTCTGTCAGGTATAAACAGTCGGTCATTTTGCGGGCTTATCGAGCAGCATTTTGCTTTCAAGCAACTTTTAATTAAAGATTAAAGTTTCTTATCAGGCAATAACTGCAATTCATGTACATATGTATGTACATCATTCATCACATAAAAGCGATCTCAATCCAAGCATATGCACATACACTAGATAAGAGAACTTTTCCAGCACATATGCTGAAAATAAGGTATTTATGCATACATATGTATGTATGTTTTAGTACATAGTATGTACCTGGTACACAAAATATATTTTAAGCTATATAACTTTTAAAGTTTGTTTATATTCATTTTCCTTATAAAATAAAAAGTTAGAAAGTAATACCAAGGCAAACATTTTTACCGGTGCGAAAAAAAGGTGTCTAACGCCTATAAACAAAATGTTCTTACTGCAGTTTAGACATTCTTCACACAAAATTGTGATTAATTAAATGAACGTATGTATTGGTATACATGAAAAAAATATTTAAATATGTATATACATATTTTTAATTATTACAATACTGTTACTAGTAAAGCACCTACATACTATACATCTACATTATGAATGAGATGATTTAAAAATACATATCACTAATCGGTTTTTATAAAACAATAATATTATTTCACCATTATTAGAGGGAAAAAGTACAATTATACAGCCCTATCTATTATCTTTTAGAAGATAGAAAAAATGTAAAGGTACTGAGCTGGGGTCGAATATGTCGAAGTCAAGTCCGACTATTATGAGATAATAGAAAGTACTCGTTTTCAGCGCTGAGCGCCCTTTGCTGGTGATAAAGTAATTTTTCTGTGCATGAGAGCTACATATATGGCTATTCGCAGCCGCATGAGACTGTTCTGGGAGGGAGGGGAGAATTACCCACAGAGATTACCCACACAGAGCGCACACCAACGGTGCTCATCTTTCCTTTCTCTGTATGTTCGAATGTACATAAATATGTACATGCTATTCATTTAGCCTACGCATGTGAGCGTACGTGCATTATGTACATATTTCTCCGGATGTGTGAGCTCTCGATTTAGTGAGGTATTTAAAGTGAGTGTTTTCAAGAAATCCGGCTTAATTCGAAGTCAGTCGTCAGCGGATCCGTATCGAGTTCATTACGGGGTCGTGTGTACATGTGTTTATCAATTTAAAAATAAAAGTGCAAGTTTAATTGGTGCTTAGGTATTGAAGAGAGATTGTCAGCTCGAGCTGATTTAGATATTCCCGTATTGTGATCTTAATAACAAAAAAGACAGTTACAAAAAGTTTAGAATTTTTATTAGTTTGGTCACCGCATTCGTATGTAAATTGTGCTCACAGAAATTTTCACTTCCTCTAGGAAAACCGTATGGGGCTCCGCACGATGGCCAGGACAACAGATGTTTGGCGTTTGATTGCAGTCCTTCTAGCTCTGTTATTAGCGGTGACAGCAACAGATGGTAAGTAACCCCGAGAAACCCTGTCTGAATGACCAAAAAATACAATATATGAAACATACATAGATGATCCACGCGAATATACCGTATGTATCTATATTGATATGTATTTTTGATGAATAGCGGCTTTAGTCAGGATCGCTTCTGTCAGCCTTTGTGGGAAAAGTATTTGTACACCCTAGAACAGGATATAGTAATTATGTTGACCTGCGTTTGCAACTCGAAGAAGGAAGAATATCAGACGAGACGCAATAAAATATACATACATAAATATATCTATGTTCTTGACCAAAACGACGAGACGAGCCGATACGTTCGTCAGTTCATCTTTGGCTCTCTGGTATCTAATTAGATTTATATAACTCAGACAGTCTTGATTTGAATCAGATCACTGTAGAATATTTTTGACTGATATTGGAACGATACGGCGCAAAAAACGAAGCCTAAGCATTTGATACCTCTGCGGAAGATTCTTATAGATACTTATACTTTATTTTTATTCCAATCCAATGATTAATAGTTTTAGCTAGTTTGTTAATTCTGGTTATGTAACCAGATGATGGCATGTTCAACATGATAGTATAGCTTGATGGTATAAATAACTATATGTAGTAGATGATACATATATAGTAGGTACATATATATGTATAATTAATTCTTCACATTTATTGCTGTCTCACTTTCCGTCTCACCAATCCGCTGAAAACTTAGTATTTTGTGCTTTCTTTATTCTCTTGGTCGCTAGGCGAATATCTTATGCTCAGAAGCTACATACTGCTTTGTCTCGCCGTCTTTTCTGTAGAGCTCGTCATTGCCCATAAAAATGGAGAAAGAGGGATAGAGAGAAAGATTTGTTGTTGATTTAACATGTTGGGTCTAAACGTTAAAATTTTTATTTTTTTTGTACTATTTACTACTATTATTACTTCTGGTTATAATCAACTTTGCCAATCTAAAAGGTAATAAATGCAGCTATAACTTGTAACCAGACACTTTGTTGGTTTCGCTTACCGTCTGGAAAATATTAAGCTTTCAAATGCAAAATTAATCATTTTGTGCGCGCTATTTTTCAAAGGATGTCCTCTGTTTTTTTATATGTATATTTTGTGTATACATAGGTGTCGTAATCAGGCGTCGTTTAAGGTATCTGAACTATAAATTTGTAGAAAAAAATGTGTGTGTAAAGGGCTATCTCGGCCACGCGTGCACCAAATTGCATGCGGTTAAATGATAGACAGAGTATGTGGCATGGTTTAAAAACCAAAAATTACTTTTCTATAAATAGGTTCCTCAAAAATTAAAAATTTATTGAAAAACTCTCAAATTTGGGCCAAAAATGTTTGCTTGAACTATTTCATTTCATTTGTGTCATTCTGTAGAACGGAAAATTGTATGATAGATTTTTTTTATACCTTTTTGTGTGAAAAATTGTTTTCTGAACAAATTGTAATTTTTGTAAGTATATTTGTTGCTTTTGATTATAATTGTTTAATTTCGATGAATTCGTAAACATTAAATTCATTTAGTAAGCAGCGAAGCGCGCGGGTCTGCTAGTTGGTTATAAAAATCTATGGATAAACAGTTAAGCTAAAATTGTTTGAACAACCCTCCAAAAATCCCATTTTACCGTTTGGAACGTTTTTGGCCCGACGTTAGGCACTTTCGTAATTTTTACTCATAATCTGCAGCGCGGATTTCCACAAAAAATATTAGGTTGACAAGAAAATTGTACAAGCTTTCATAGGATTTTTGATTCGTGTTGATAGAATAGTTATTCCCCGTAGCTGAAGATATAGCGACCTATATCCACCGATTTTGATGAGCAGTACCTTAAACGACGGCATCATGCACCTATACACAAGAAAAACTTTTAGACTTTTAGTCATCATTTAAAACTAAATTCCGCACAAGAATGATTAATTTTGCATTTGAAAGACATCTGGTTCATTTGAACCATCCAAAATTTCTCTTCGAGCACATACCGATTAAATATGATTAAATATGTATAGTTTATTGAAAGCAAATAGAGAAAGACCCTATGCAGAGCCTCTAAGAAGAGAGCGAGAGAAACATCTTGTATACTGAAACTGCAGAAACAAGAACGGCCGCTGCCGTGCGTAAGCATATGCGGTGTAAAAAGGTTATTTACAGTAGGCAGTGCAAACTATCATTTAAAGTTTTGATGAAGAAATATCAGGCTGGGAAACCCGTCACAAGTGATGTCACAAAGTCTACCCATATACCTGGCCGAAATAAATATTGGGACACTCTTTTATCATAGTTATTTTTAAAAATTATTAAAATTGGTAAGAATTTATAACGACTAAACCATTTTTTTGAATGTAAGTACTTGCATATCAAGAAAGAAGAAACTTTTAAAACTCATCTATGCTTAAAATTACAGGTAACAGTTGCAAAAAAGGATGCCCAAAATGTAAGCACTTTTCTTTATAATTGCTTTAAATATATATTACATATATTTTCGTGATCATTTTTATAGCTGACAATGGCGTGTTGAACTATACACCCGGCAATTACTATGAATATGCCTTCGACAGCATTTTAACAATTGGATTAAGTTCTGGTGCCGTTAGTGAAGCCGATGACACCAGCCTCAAGGTGACAGGGTCGGCGAAGATATTCGCGGAGGGAAACTGTGGGTACACGCTGCAGGTGGGCTCTGTGAAAGTTACCAACACCAAGGAGTCCGTGGAAAAAAAGATTCTGAGTAGCATTCAAAAGCCAGTTCACTTCACCCTCGTTAGTGGCCAGCTGGAACCGGAAATTTGTTCAGACTCCAATGATGCAGCTTACTCTCTGAACATTAAGCGAGCCATTATTTCCCTACTGCAATCGGGAACCAATTCGGATCATGAAATTGACGTATTTGGCCAGTGCCAAACTCACACATCATCTTCCAAAGCCGGTAATTCAGAAGTTATCACAAAGGTACGCGATCTGAACAGCTGCGCCTACCGTGAGCAGATAAACAGCGGACTGGTCTCGGGAGTTGTCAATGAGAAAGCCGGCATCACATCCAGCTTGCTTTTGGATGCCAATTACATTAAGGAATTGAAGATTGGAGGAGGCCTTATTGAAAATGTACAACTGGTGGAGACATATAAATTTATTGGTTCTGTCAGAGGAAACTCTGAGATCAGTGCCAAAGCTATCACCAGCCTTAAACTAAAAAATCCTGCCGGTACAACGGGTAATGCACCAGCGACTGGAGCCACTGCCAGAAGCTTACTATTCCAGAAGCCCGAAACATACACATCTAAGAACATAAATTCACTAAAAGCCATACTATCGGATCTTGTGGACTCAACCGCCGAATATGTGAAAAAGGACAGCGCCAAAAAATTTGTTGAGTTTATTAGATTGCTCCGTCAATCGGACAGTGACACCCTGCTGGAGCTTGCCGCATTTCCCCACCCAAATAAGGAATTGGCTCGCAAGGTTTACCTAGATGGACTGTTCCGCACCAATACCGCCGAGTCAGCTGTTGCGATTCTTAAACAGCTTTCAAAATTGGGTGAAAAGGAGCAAGTTATAGCTATACTATCACTAAACTTGGTGGAGTCTGTTGACAAGAATACGCTTAATCAAGCTGCTTCTCAATTGTCACCCAGTGCGCATAAGGAGCTGTACTTATCTGTTGGTAGTTTGGTGGCCAAGTATTGTGCGCAATACGGATGCCAGGCGGGAGAAATCGACCTTATATCCAAAAAATTTACAGATAGTCTTAAGCAGTGCAAGCCAAATACCAAGAAGGAAGAGGAACGCATTGTATACATCTTGAAAGGAATTGGTAATGCGCGAACCCTGGCCGGCAACACTGCAGCCGCTCTAAGTGAGTGCGCCTCGACAGGGCGATCGAATCGTATTCGTGTTGCAGCTTTGCAAGCCTTTTCAGCTGTTACTTGCGACCCAACGCTGCAAAATAAATCTTTGGAACTGCTAAAAGACCATAATGAAGATTCAGAGCTGCGAATTGAAGCCTACTTGTCAGCGATTTCGTGCCCTAATGCTGATGTGGCTAACGAAATATCGCAAGTTGTGAACTCTGAAAATGTTTATCAAGTCGGTGGTTTTATTTCATCCAGTTTAAAGGCGATACGAGACTCCACTGACCCCACGCGTGAGCAACAAAGATACCATTTGGCCAACATTCGAGTGACTAAGAAATTTCCGAGAAACTACAGGCGATACAGTTTTAACAATGAGGTTTCCTACAAACTGGATGCACTAGGCTTAAGCGCAAGTTCAGACTACAAGCTAATATATTCCCAGCATGGATTTCTTCCTCGCTCATCCCGCATTAATGTGACTACAGAAATCTTTGGAACCAGTTTCAATGTGTTCGAGGCGAGCGTACGCCAAGAAAACTTAGAAAACATTTTGGAGTACTATTTAGGACCCAAGGGTTTGCTTAACAAAGACTTTGATGAAATTGTAAAGCTCATTGAAGTAACCGGAGCTGGAGCTGGGGGTCGAGCCAGGCGTTCAATTGTTGATGATGCTGCTAAAACTTCAAAAAAATATAAAACGTATGGCAGTAAAAATAAGCAAGATCTTAATTTAGATTTATCGCTAAAACTTTTCGGATCGGAGCTGGCGTTCCTGAGTTTAGGCGACAACATGCCAAGTACAATGGACGATATCATTAAGCATTTCTCTGAAGCGTTTGATAAGGCCAAGAATGATTTGTCTTCCTTTGAAAAGCAATTTGCTAGTCACCATCTATTCCTCGATACAGAGTTTTCGTACCCAACCGGCGTAGGCGTGCCTCTTGAACTTACAGCTCAGGGATTCGCTGCTAACAAAATCGACTTCGCCGTCAATGTTGACGTAAACGCAATTTTGGAGCAAAACTGGCAGAGAGCCAAGTACCGTCTGAAGTTTGTACCCAGTATTGATGTTAATGTTAATGTACAAATAGGGTTCAATGCGCAAGTACTGTCCACTGGACTTCGCGTTGCATCTACAGCCCACTCGGCTACTGGAAATGATGTTACAGTATCGCTTATTAATGACGGCGAGGGTTTTAATGTTGACGTTGAACTGCCAAGAGAGAAACTAGAACTAATTGATATCAAAATTAACAGTGAATTCTTTGTAGCAGAACAAGACAAGCAAAAGTCAGTTGCACTAAAGACTACCAAAAAAAATAAGAATTCACAGCCCAGCGAGATATGCTTTAATCAATTGGAAGTCGTTGGCTTGAACGTGTGCATCGAAAGCTCGACTAGTCTCAGCGAAATTCAAGCTGGATCTGGTAGTGGTTCCGGAAAGGGTCAGACCCTTATAGACCAATTCTATTTATCTCGACCATTTAGCTTTGCAATCTATTTAACAACAGAGCGGAAGTTTAATTTTAAGGGTGTGCACTCAGTGCAGCCCTCCGGCAGCCAGCAGTGGAAACTGGACTACAGCACTCCCGGCTCCAAAGTTTCCCACGATACCAGCGCATCCTTTGAGCTTGGATCAAAGCCACGCATATATGGGCGGCTATCTTTTGATAATTCTCAATACCACTTTGGCGTAGAAACTGGAATAACCAATGACAATAGCGAATTGGTGGTCTACGGACAGTATGAGCAGGATAAGGATATAAAAAAAAGCAAAATCGGTTTCAGGAAGAACGGAAACGAATACAAGCCTTTGATTGAAATACAAGATAAGAATGGCGTCACGAATAGCATTAACGGATACCGGGCAGACGGAAAAATCGTCGTTCAGAAAACCAATGACAAGCAGGCTCGGTATAACTTTGAAAACTTTCAAGTATCAAATTCCAATAACGAACGCATCACTCTAAACGGCTGGACTGATGTCGGCCCAAGTTCAGTAAATGGCGAACTTCACATCGCTTCGGGGCAGCAGTCCTACCTAGTAAAGAGTAATTTCAAGCTGGAAAATGGTTTGTACGCTGCGGGACTCTTCGTGAACGACGAAAGCTCTCCGGAAAATGTATATGGAAGCTCCGCACAATTGACAGTAAAGGATCAGGCCTATGCCCTTACAGTAACTGGAAAAGCTGCAGCATGGAGCATCGACAGTGAAACCGGTTTTGAGTTCGAAAAAGTAGACAACTCAAATTCCGTACGTTCTGGTACATTTTCACAGAATCTATCGGTTCAGCACAAGAAGAAGCCAGTGAGTTCAGTAAGCGTAAAGTCCACTTTTGACGTAAATAAATTTGATTTCGCTGCTGTAGTCTCTGGTGACCAAAAGGTAGGATCGGTGACCGTCAAATATCAAAGCAACCAACGATCAGTAAACGATTACGCCCTCGAGGTAAATGGAAAACTGAACAAGCACTCCGTTGATCTTGTATCGAAGTGCGAACTGAACGGAAACAATTATGTTGTAGACAATGCTGTCACTACTAGTTGGGGTACTTCTCTGACCGCGAAGGGTGAACTAGGCCAACGCTACACGCCCCAAGACGTTCGCATTGATCTTCAAGGTAACGTTCAATTCAGGGGAAAGGACAAACCCACTCAATGGACACTCAAGGTAATTGGTACGCCAGACAAAACCAACAGCGAGTTTCGGGTTAGCCGAGAAGCCGCAGAGCTTCTCAAATTGACCACTGAGTCCCAGCATCCTCAGGACAAGGTATCTGCGGCTAAGGTCAACCTGATTGTAAAGAATCTCTTTACCGCCAAAAGCGAGTTTAAGATAGCCAAAAATGGTAAGGGAGAGCTAACAGCCACTATTGAGAACCAAAAGATTGAACCCAAGCACAAGCTGGAGCTAGAGTCTAAGTTCCATATTCAAGCTCCTAAATACGATATCGATGCTAGCTTTACACTCGATGGCGAAAAGAAAATACACTTAAAATCGGAAAACAACCTGGATAAGCTCAAGTTCTCCACTAAAAATACTGCGGAAGCGACCGACAAGAAACTCTCATTTGAGGCAAATGGTAATGTGAAGGGTGACTGGCGAGCAAATGGTGAAGTTCAGGGTAGCTTTGCCTTGACTACTCCTGATGGTCGAGTAATTGACGGTAGCATCCATCGCAAGGTGACAGCCAACGTCAAGACAGGAATAACCCAAGGCAGTATGGACGCACAGATTAATGACCAGCCGTCTGGCAACAATAATAAACGTTCGGTGACACTAAAGGGAAAGCTGGATCGTCTGAACATCCGGACTAAAGAATTTTCAGCTAATAGCCAAATTGTTTACACATCATTGGATGGAGAAAAGTCAGAGCTAAGTTATAAGATCAAGCAACAACCAAAAGGCGATGGCAGGAGCCTCGACATAACTATTTCTGCAAATGGTAACCCACTCAGCCAACCCATTGAGATCTCTGTTGTTGCGGATGAGTACAGTACTCAACAAGCTACTGGTCGCATTAATGGAAAATATGGCGAGCTTCTGTCGGCGAATCTAAACGGAAATTATCATTGTGCACAGAACAATATACCAGCTACATATGAATTCCAAGCTAACATTCAAGTCCCTAAATCCAGCCTCAAGTCATTGACTATTAACAGCCATGGAAAGCTGTTAAAGCCAGGTACCACCAATGGTGCATTCAATGTTGAGTTCTTCACAGATGCGAAGACAGGTGATGGACAATTCGCTCGTGTCAACACCGACTGGAAGGGCACCCCACAAGAGGGAAGTTACGCCTTCGAGGCACAAAGCTCCAACATGGCCTCTCCCCTAAAATTCAATGGTAACTACCATCGCGAACAATCTGGCAGCTTGAAGGATGGCGACGCTAGCGGCAATCAAAAGTACGGATTCAATGCACTATATGGAGACAAGTACTTAAAAACCGATGCTACCCTTGCCTTCGGCTCTGAGACAGCAACTCTGGTTTATAAATTAGATTCGAGCTACGAAGCGGCCAAGAACATCGAAATAAACATTCGTAGTCAGAAGTCGTTAGAGGATTCCTACGTTGTGGCTGTGCAAGCCAAACAGGCGGGTAAATCCTATGGATTAGACACGAAATTGTATCGGTCGGCACACAAGAAAGGAATTGATATTCGTGTTGACTTGTCGACTGGGCAGCCCATTATTCTAACAAGCATTGTGGAAGTTTTGGGTGAGCGAAAGGGCAAAGTGAACCTGGAAATAGAAAACCTTGCCGACCTAGACTTTAAATTGAGCAGCGAAGCTTCGTACGTTAGCGTCGACGACTTCTATATTGTTGGGAGCTGGAGCTCAAAGAAATTAAAACTTGACGGCTACGAATTGGATGTACGAGCCCAAGGCAAAAGCATTAAAGCACAACTGAAGAATATACAAGGACTGATATTCTTGGGCACAGCCACCTATGCGCTTAAAAAGGAACAGAGCAAGGCCATCATTGAGGGTCAAGGCCAGGTTCAATATCAAGGAAAATCCCATTCGGGAAATTTCAAACTAACTCGTCAGCACTTTGACTTAAACACTGATAAGGAGATTGGCTTTTCTTACACATTCAATGGTAATTTTGGAACCAAAAATGGCGTGTCAACGTTGAAGATAACCAACAAAGAATTTAACACAAAGTTCTCTCTATGCGAGGAAAAAAAACAGTGCACAAATGTTCAACTACAGTCTATTGTAAATATAGATGAGCAACAACTGGATTCTGTACAACACTCCTCTCTCATTCTGGTGGATCTACGTGAGTTGGGCTACCCATATGAGTTTGAATTAAAGTCGCAGAACACACGGCAAGGATTCAAGTACCAATATCATTTAGACGGTTTCATTATTTCGGGAAATAATCTAAAGTACCAACTCACCGCAAACGTCCAACCCACATCGTCCACCATCAAGCTAGTACTTCCCAAGCGCCAGATATTGTTCGAAACCTTGCAAAAGATACCTGAGGGTAGCATTTTTGGTCACTACGAACAATCAGCTGCTTTCTACATCGATAAGCTGCAACGCCCCGACGATGTTGTTCGCGTTTCAGCTATTCTAGACGTATCGGGGGTCGAGAACGTCGCCCTTAATGCCAAGGGTCAGCTTAAAGTTGAACATCCCACTATTCGTCCACTCAGTATTTCTGGACACGTTGATGCCAATCGCGAGCATCAAATCGCGAATGCCGAACTTGTATTTGACATCTTCCGGCTTTCAGAACAAAAGATCATTGCATCCAGCGCCATAAAAAATACTCGAGCACAACAAGGTTTCAACATTACAACCAATCAACAGGTTAAGTCCAGTGGACTGAAGTTCCAGTATGAAATAAACGGTCACACAGCCATCAACACCGAAGTTCAAGAGTTCAGTTTTGGAGTTGACCTTCACAGCGGCAACGACGGTGATGTAAAGGGGGGAGCATATGTATTTGCCAATAAAGAAAAACTGGAGATATCTTTAGACGCCTTAAACACACAGATTCTTCGAATCGTTGGCAACTTTAACAGTCAAAAACGTTCGGCCAATTTCAACTCTAAGCTTCAAGTTTTTGATAAAGTACCAATTGAAATTGTAAGTGAGCTCCAGCCCACGTTTGCTAGAGTTTCACTGAAGCGCCAGGATCTGATTGATGCGAATACAGAAATAAAATTGGGAAAGGAGCTTAAATTCGATATTTCTGGACGTGGCAAACCTCTTTTTAATGGACGAGTGGCTCTAGATGCTGCAAACTTCCTTCAAACCACTTACAAGTCTAATGATGATGATGTCAAAGCCTTCTTGGTAAGAAAAAGTTTATTTACGCATACGAATAAGCTTAGATAATATATTAATATTTTTTGATACAGCTGATTGTTGAAGCGGAAGTGAAAAAGGACACAAAGGACATTACTGAGAAGCTAAAGCAGCGCTTCGAAAAATTAAGACAAGAATCCGACCAGATCATAAAATTAGCTAAGGAAGCCCATCCAGATTTTTCGAAACTGAAGACTAAAATTGACGATAATCTAAAAACAATTGTTCAAGAGCTGGAAACCGATCCCTCGTTAGCACCTATCATCGATGGCATGTAAGTCCCATACAGAGCAAGCGCCTAATTAAAATTATTTACTATTATTGCACTGTTTTCTAGCCGCACCGTGGTTAACAAAATCGCGACCATTACTGATGAGTTGGCCAAGACGACATCAGAGTTGTACGAGAAAGTTCAGAAGTCATTGACTGAGATTTATGAAAAGTTGCAAGCCCTTTGGAATGACTCACTTTCGAAGGCATGGGAGGACTTTGTAGTTACTGCCACTGAATTGATTGGTCAGCTGCGGGTTGAGATAATCAATGTTTACACGAAAGCATTCCAGGATCTGCTGAGTCTCCTCGAAAAGTATGGACCAGCACTGAAAAACTATGGCAAAGCTGTCAACGAATTCCTGAAACCAATTAACGAGGCAGCTCAAGAATTCATCAAGGTGTTGGTGCATGCGACTGAAGAAATCATTGAAGAGCTAAAACAGTATGCTTCCAAATTCCCCACATTCGAGAGCATACGCGCCGAGTTCAACGAAAAAATTCAAGCTTTGAAACTGGTCGAAAAAACGTTGGAGCTCGTTAATAATCTGTTTGATCAGTTGCACATTTTACCACAAACACAAGAAACTTCAGAATTCCTACAGAAGTTACATGATTATTTAGAAGCAAAACTAAAACAAACATCTGTCAATGATGAAAAGTTACTAGATGAATTAAGCAAGCTCTTAATTAAGGCCATCCGCTCAATTTGGGCCTCGATCGAAAGCAGCGCTCCAGGTGCTACCGCTCCAGTGGGTGATTTGCAGACATGGTTTGCTTCACTTCCTCACTCCGTAGAGACGCTATCCAAGCTTCCAGCCTTACTTTCATTCCGCTCCAGTTCTATAAATTATTTGCTTAACGAGAACTGGGAACAAGTATTTACAAAGGACTTACTAAAATCATGGGTGTTCTTCAATGATTTTGAATTACGAGGCCATGTCGTGGATGGGCAGCACGTGTTTACCTTTGATGGACAACATTATGCATACCCCGGCAACTGCAAATATATATTGGCTCAGGACAGTGTGGACAATAATTTTACCGTCATTGGCCAGCTTACCAATGGAAAACTTAAGGGCATAACAGTTGTTGATCGGGATGGAAACTATGTTGAGGTCGCTGATACTGTTGCCCTAAAGGTAAATGGTAAGCCAGTAGAATACCCGCAACATTTGCCCGGAATTCACGTATGGCGCCGATTCTATACTGTACACTTATATTCTGAATATGGCGTCAATGTTGTGTGCACTACAGACCTGAAAGTTTGCCACGTTAACGTGAACGGTTTCTATACTGGAAAAACACGAGGTCTGCTCGGCAATGGGAACGCTGAGCCATACGATGACTACTTGCAAGTTGATGGTACCCTAGCAGCCAACTCTGCTCTGTTGGGAAACGATTATGGCGTTGGAAAATGCACAGCTGTTGCATTTAACAATGAACAAATAGATAGCCAAAAACGCGATGAAATATGTGATGAGATATTCGGAATAGAGTCACCTTTGGCGCTCAATTATTTGACATTGGACTCTAAACCATACCAAAAGGCGTGTGATATTGCTCTTGAGAAAGTTGCCGAAAAGGATAAGGAGGCAGCTGCGTGCACATTTGCTTTGGCATATGGCTCCGCCATCAAACAGATTAACAAGTGGGTATTGTTGCCACCACGCTGCCTCAAGTGTACTGGTGCACTTGGCCAACGAGACCTCGGTGATGAGTTCACAGTCAAGTTGCCAAATACCAAGGCCGACGTCGTATTTGTCGTTGACATAAATGTAACCCCCGCAGTTCTAGCCAATCTTATATCACCAGCAATCACCGAGATTCGCGAGTCACTCAAGAACCGCGGCTTTACTGATGTGCAAATTGGCGTTATTATATTTGATGAGTCAAAACGATACCCAGCCCTGCTTACAAGCGATAACGGAAAAATTAATTACAAAGGAAATGTTGCTAATGTTCAACTCAACGGACCGAAACAATTCTGTGACAATTGTGTGGAGCAAATAATTACTGAAAAGAAAGTTCTTGACATTTACAATGCGCTAGAGCGTCTAGTGAAAAGTCTTGTTCCCCAGTCGGATGAAAAGGCCTTCCATCTGGCCCTAGACTATCCATTCCGGGCTGGTGCTGCGAAGAGCATTATTGGAGTGCGCAGTGACTCTCTAGAATATAAAAATTGGGTAAGCATTGTTCTTTAATTCAAAATATAGTAATTGAAACATTCATACTTTTCTGTCCACAGTGGAAGTTTGTACGAGCTCAAATAACTGAAGGAGTCACCAAGTTTGATGGTGCCCTTCTCCATCTCGTAGCACCAGTAAAATCGCTTGCATTGGAGGGAGTAACAGCCGAAAAATTAGTTGGTAAACATATTCAAGCTACCTACATTGATACATATTTACAATATTCCGTTTATTACAGGCTTTAATTCTCGCTTAGTTGCCACTTTAGATGGCAAAGATAACAAGAAGCGTACCAAGCTCCAATTTGAAAGTGACATGGGCATTGATTTTGTTCTCAACAATGGTGGCTGGGTGTTTGCCACTCAAAACTTTGACAATTTAAAGGCACCCGAGCAAAGGAAATTCTTGAACCAAATTACATCGTCTATTGCAGATACTCTCTTCAAGACCGAGGTCGTTAGTGATTGTCGCTGCCTACCGGTTCATGGACTACACGGCCAGCATAAATGTGTCATCAAATCGTCGAGCTTTATCCCGAATAAGAAGCCAAAGGCCGCCTAAAATGTCAACTTTACGTTCGCCCATAAATATGTTTATAATTTTTTACGTAAACTGTAGAATGTAAATCAAAAAAAATAAGTTATTAAAAATGTACTCAAGCCTTTTTTTATTTTTAAAAGAATAGAAGAGAAAAGAAAGGAATTTCGACAATGCAAAATCGAGAGACAATCTACAACTACTGCATTTATAATTTATTTTTAGGATCTTCTGCAGTAACACAATTATAAAACATATTCATATATCTAATATTAAGTAACCTGATCCTCCATAGCACTATTAGTAAAATTTTGCCATTATTTCTAAAAACAAAGATAGACTACAAATTTGCCTAAATGTTCATCAGACTAAAGCCTAATACGTAGACCCGCAAAATTTTCCGTCAACCGAATCAGAGATGATAGTCGCACCTGTACCTACGCTGACGTAGCTCTAGTGAGGATTCCCTACACTTCCTACTGGATACCCATGTTCCAAGAGGTTCAATCACAGAGCCGGTAGATCTCTCCAGTGAAGGCTTGGCTATCTCGATGGCGCTCATCCTTACAAAACGGCATATCAGATAGGCAGTAAACAGCTTTATGGTGCAATTCAATGGACATAAACTGGCTGAAATGAATCTATGGGAAGATACTGATAGTGCGGAAAATTCCACACGCTTGAATCAATGATCTGAAATGTTTACGTTTGTGTTTGCTAGGGTACCTGGACGAAGATAGAACATTGATATATTTTTCGAGCGGCTAGCAACATACCACCGAATACCAGCAAATCCCATCGGCTGCTTTTCTAGTATCTATCGTCCTTTTTTCCTTGAACTGAGTACTGCCCGCAGTACAGATTCTTAGCGATTTCATACGATTTGTTTGCCAGCTGTTTTTCGGATCTGAGTACTAGGTTTAAAGAACAAAGGCTGGTTTCAAAATGAGAGGTTATTGCCGCTGTTATCCAATGGGCTAAGGTTGTTTTTCAACATGCGGGTAATTTTATTTTATATTTTATCGCTAAATTTTCTTTGAAAAAGCTGATTTTTTGTTCGATTACAAAATACAAAAATTTCACGTTCCTCTTTGTTTTTTGGCTTGGAGAGCATTCTAATGGCCCTGGCCGAGAACAGCAGTCAGGTCGTCGAGAAGAAACCTCGCTTGGGTGTTAACTGCATGCTGACTGGTGATTGGGACATGAAGAGCCACAACGTCTTGGATCGGTTCAACTCAAAGGAGCAGATCCTATTGTCCACCCAGCTCGTAAAGAGAATAGTCAGCCATTGGCTATACATATGTAGATTCTTCCCATCCATTGATTTAATAACACTACTCGACAAAATCGAACTTTTTTTTTCCTCAAGGATCCAAACCGACTTTTTCTGATAGATATGGGGATTTAAAATTTTTTAAAGAATTATGGTTTTTTTTCTATGGCAGAACTTTTTTTTGAAGAATTTTTTAAGTCTGGTATTTTTTTTTTAATTGGCAGTTGGGCCCGCAACCATCGAAAAGGTATTTTTTGTTCATTTTTTCCATATTTTAGGTTTAGCTAACGAATTTTAGCTCCAAAGTCTCTCCATAGATTTTAATGAGCGATACCTTGAACGACGCCAAATTAATGCACCTATACACAAAAAAATAGAGGACACAGGATTTTTATTCGACTTTTCCTGAGTTTTTAAAGTCAAAATTTCGTAGAAAAAAACCGCACAAAAATCATCATTTTTGCATTTTAATGCTTTATTATTCCCAGACGTTAAGCTGTAATCACAAAGTGTTTGGGCTTACCTTCTAGCTGTTTTAATTATCTTTTCAAAATAGCAAAGTTCTTTACAACCAGACGTAAGATACTAGAGTTATGTGAAAAAAACAAGCGCTACCTCTAAAAAAAGCTTAAAAAAAAATACCAGTTTTCAAAAATTCTTTAAAAAAAAGTTCTGCCATAGAAAAAAAAAACATATCATCAAACCATTTCTAAGCCCCAAATCTTTAAGAAAAAGTTCGTTTTGTTCCTTGAGGAAAAATCGTGTTGACTAGTGTAATCAACACTAAATTATTTGGGAAAGAAAAAAAATTAAATAAAGTTACACTGGGCACACAAATACGCAATACGATATAAGATAACTCATTTCCGCACCACCCAAGAATAAGAGTGGTGCATTTTTTTAACATGGTGTCTCCAATAGGACTAATCCACTATATTTCCTCTGTGGGTCTCAAAATCTTGATTACATATCCACTGAAATTACAAGCAATAGCAACAGCTGGAGCTAACAATCAGAGCGATCGCCATCCCCAAGCAGGTCCGATTACTGCAAATCAAACGAATAATAAAGCTATACAAGTTACACCTTTCTTGTATTTTATTTTCAACTAATTATTATATTTATATTATTTCTATGTTATCAGCCATGCTCCGGCTATCGCAAATCACTAAACTTTACGATTTGACAGTCAAATCGCAAAAAAGTGTGCTCCGGTTTTCGTAAATCGCAAGATTTTGACGTTTTGAAACCGGTTGTTAATGAGCTCGCGATTTCAAAACGAATTCCACATAGCAAGTAAATAAAAACTTGTATGAGCGTGAAAAATATATAAACAACTCTGATTATGTTCTAAGTTTATATTTATATAATTAAAAATGAATTTTTGTATATCCTTATATATTTAATAAATTTATTTCTAATAAATTTGACACAACTTAACGTCACCTAAGCAACCTGACCGATAAAATATCGATTTCAATATCGGCCAGGTTCTTCTGTTCTTAATTCACCGATTTATTGTTGTGTTTTGGTTTAATATAATGCGATGGCCACAATAATGGCATATTTAACTAAAATATTTCCATTTCCAAACCAAACAAAAATTGTTTAAGAGAAATATCGCAAAACAATTTGGGAAAGAAACACTATCGATGGGAAAAAGGTACGAAAAGCACACAATTTCAATTAATACGAATTGTTCCAAAATCGCAATCGCAAAAATTTACGAAAACCGGAGCATAGCGGTATATATGTATATACAATTTTAAGCAATTAATTAATAGACGAAGTTCTTTTTACATAGGATAAGCATAGGTCTGGTGGTAAAAAGTTGCGTCGCTCTTCATGTGCGTCTATTCGAAATATTCGATTGCTATTGCGCTTAACACTATCACCACTAATTACAACAAAAACTTGCAGATAAAATTTTGTCACTAAAAAGTTGTGATTGTGCGAAAATGTAAAAAATATACATCAAATCCGTAAACAAAATATTTTAAACTGATTGAGTTATTATCATACATTTTTGTGATCCCTGAGGCCATATAACAATACTGGAGAAGAACTTCGATGGTTTTCATGGTTTGAAGAGGAACTCCCACAAACTCGAATAAGAAATGTCTGAAACTAATAAATATATATGGGCATCAATTCTCTTTAATCCATTTTGCCGTCGTATTGTATAATTCTGTTGATTCCCCAAAATTTGGTTACTCTACTCGTCATCAAGCACACAAATCAGCTAGTATCATTACGCAAAAACCTGCGTCTGCTAATGTGTACGTCTATTCTGCTTCATTGCGTCTTTTGCCATATCGATAGGAAAAAGGCTATTATATACACACATATCTATAGATACTGTAAGATCAATAAATTATGTTTATCGAATATGTGCAATCTCTAAATCGACCGCCGCGAAACAAACAACAGGAAAATTGTGTCGAATTTAATTTAGTTAACATGGGATGGAAAATAACATTAAGATATTCAGCGTGAATGTGGTGACCTATTAATGACTTTAAAAATCAATAAAATATCGTAATAAATATATTTTCACACAAATATAGGTTTGTACGTTTATCTGATTTACATACATATTATAATGTACATTCAGCATTTGTTGACCTCATATGCATATTAACATCTAAGCTCTACCGTTACTGTTTGATCAATTTAGGGTTTCTCCACCCAAAGAAAAAATATATTAGAACCCCATAGTAGTGTGTAGATATAATAAATCTACTGAAATTGCTTAATTTCCGTGGGTTTGGCATCTTTTAGGGCTTAAGGTTGAAACCGAAGTCCTGGTCGCGACTCATAAACTAGTTTTAAACATGCTTAGCCCTGCATTTTCCAAATATGATTCCTTTAAACACACCCCGAGGTTCCCTACAGAACAGTCCGTTATCCATTTTGACCTCCCAGCTTAGGTTAGATACCTTAATCTGTCAGCCAGTGTGCTTTAGTATTAAATGTTTTACTCACTATTTACTGTGTCAAAATTAAACTAAATAAAATAAAATTATTCTAATTTTCACTTTTATTACACTACGTTTATTGAAGATTAACATCAATCTAAGTGTGTCGGCATGGAATCCTTGGAACAGCAACTTATGGATCTGTCGGTATTGAACGATAAGCCGTTGCCGCCGAAAGGGTGTACCGTAAGGCATGGAAAAGTCGCAGAATTAGTAGGAAATTTACAGAAAAATTTATATACTGCACAAGATGATACTCTTTATAAGAAAATGGCTCCATCTGTTCCTCCGAAGCCGCCGAAAAAGCAAAATGAGATGCCTCAGGTATGCATTCATTCCGGATGAAACCCAGCTACATCTACATATACCTCACTTTGCAGTTGTATGTAAAATCATAAGCCCTACAATACCATGTTTGTAATAATAACCGTGCATTCAAAGCCATCTAAGGCATATAAAGGGTACATACATAAGCACACATATTATTCGTACACCTACTATCACTTTAGTTTGAGCACCTATATTTTGGCGTACGGTTAAGTTCAACAGAAAAAATTAATTTTATATCAAATATCCATATTTTTTCTATCTGTTCTTAAAAAATCATAATGGCTTTATTTAAGGACCAATACCTTTGGGGAATTTTAGACCCTTTAAAGACTGAATGCGTAAAATTGTATTGTATTTTTTAGCTATAGTATTGAAATATTGAAACGCCTACGAATAGTCTGGTCGAATCTTGTCGAACATCCAAAGCAAAATGTGTGCATTTGGTAAACCACGCTACTGCGATTAAATCGAGTACATCCAACAACGAATTTCGCCAAAAAACTGTTCCTTAACAATGTAATTCATGAGTCCCTGATGTTTTGTTAGAAAACTCGTGCCCTGATATCGTGTCGATCGCTGGATGTTTGTCCTGTGAGCAACAGATCCGTTATTTCGGGCCGTTTCGGATTGCAAGCTAACGTGATGAATAAATCCGGAATAAATCATCGCATCTTGAGCGTACTCATGCATGTGGCGCGGGCTTCTAACATAAGAAGCTGGGAGAGCGGTGTTTCCTTCAGTAGCGATAGCGTCACGCCAGTGGATGTACTCTTCTGATCGTAGTTTCGACTGATTAAAACGAATGAAATTAAACCAACCGGGGCTATCTCAACAGATGATTGTCAACCTCTTGCCGAATCATCAATCGATACGCGTAACAATTCATTGCGCTGGCCAAAGATGGGACGACAGGTTTGTTGAAAATTCATCACTTCTTTTTTTTATTCTACAACCGTGAAGAGGATGCTTATCACTTAAATATAAAGTCTCGTATACTCGTTGCAATTATCCGCCGTCCCGACGCTTTAGAACAATATCGCATGATTCTACATTCTCCAACAATTACCATTGCGACTTCATTGATGGTTGGAGTATTGAATTGTCTTGCATGGCCTCCACCTGGTCTATTGTCTGCTCTGATAATGATTTTATGGTCGTCAGACTGCATTGTATCCAATGCAGTTTTGAACAATCTGACCAATTCATTATGCTCATGCAGAAAATTTTTCAATTGGTGTACCATTTCATGTTTGGTGCACTAAAAATTGTACAACGTCTATCTAGCTCTATTGTTGAATATCCAACGAAATAGATAAGAAGAAACTTCTGATGTTCGGTGGTAACAAAGCACCCGCTCGATGGCGAATGTGCCCTTGAATCTGAATGTTTTAAAGCCATTTCGAACAAAAATAAAAATGAGAATTGTTCATGTTCATGTTCAACAACTTCGGCTACAAATGACATCATTTGAAAGCATCCGATATATTTTTGTGTATTTTTTGTCTGGACGTTGATATGCAATTACTGCACCATCAAGTGGCCCATGCGACAAAAAGCCGAAGCCTGCTACGCGCGGAACCCAGGCAGAAACGCAGCCCCTCCTCCCGCCCAACCGACCGAGGGGCGGTGCCGCATGGCGCGCGACTCGTGTTACCGAACCGATCGCGAGCATGCAGGAAAGATAGGTGTTAGACTAAAATTTGAGGACAATTAGAGCTAAACACAACTCAAAGAGCTAAACACAACTCAAAGAGCTAAACATGCAAAGATAGCTAAGAAATAGTACTAATTACGGGAAAGGTATGTTAGTATTAGTAGTTAGTATTAGTATTAGAGGAAGGGAATTAGTAGTGGATATTATATGGTAGAGGGAATTGAAGTCCGAGCATAGGACCCTAAATGGTTCGTGCAAGGAATAATTCGATCTACAAAGCGGAAGGAACAAAGGAATAAAGTTTCTGGTAGATCTAACAGGAATTGTAAAGTTTATGCGGCTCAACAAGTCAGGGCTTTCTACGTCACCCTTGATCAGGTTGTGCATAAAAATCACACCAAGCATTTTTCTACGACTAACTAAGATTGGAAGGTTTATTAAAAGCAATCTACGAGGGTAAGATGGCAGTCTCACACCTGCATCCCTGCATAAAAAGTTTTTCTGGACTGATTATATACCTGGTGTCCTGGTGTACTTTGTACTGGGAGCACCATACAGAAGAGCCGTACTCTAAAATCGGACGAACAAGCCAGATATAGAGAGTCTTCGTTATATAGGGGTCGTCAAATTCCTTTGACCACCTCTTTATAAACCCAAGCACGCCCATGGCCTTATTTACCATGGTAGAAATGTGTTCAGAAAACTTAAACTTGGGGTCTATTTGCACAACACCATGACTGAAAGTTATTGAGATCGGATTGCATGCGAGAGTGAAATGAAATGTCCTTATACTGGACGCAGTTTGTGAATAGTAGGGGGCCTAGATGGCTGCCCTGTGGTACTCCAGAAGTAACCTTAAAAGGTGAAGAGAAGGAGTTTTTGAAGAGGACTCTTTGAGACCTAGAACGTAGGTAGCTAGAAATCCATCTCAAAATATTAGGCGGAAACCCTAAAAGGTCAAGTTTTTGTGCTAGAAGGGAATTGTTTACAGAATCGAATGCTTTACTGAAATCAGTGTAAATGACATCCGTCTGCAAGTTACCTTGGAAGCCTTTAATGATAAAAGAGGTAAACTCTAATAAATTGGTGGTTGTTGATCGCCGCCTTATAAATCCGTGCTGAGACGGAGATATAAGTGATTTGAAGAGATGTTGCAAATGCGGAGCTAAAATTTTTTCAAACATTTTAGGAATAGCGGATAACTTAGATATACCTCTATAATTATTTACATCAGACTTACTACCTTTCTTATGGAGCGGAATAATAAAAGATTCCTGCCAGATGGGGGAAGCATGAAGCGTTAATGGATAGGGTGAATAGTTTAAGCAGGGGTCCACACAGAGCGTCGGCACAGTACCTGAGTATACAGCCGGGAACTCCGTCAGGACCTGACACCGGCTTAACTAGTCGAAGATAATGAAGCAGTGAGCTTTCATTTAACAAGGCGCTGAAAATGCCATTCGACCTTGGTAAACTGTATGGATACGGCTGACCAGAGTAGTTTTCATGAGAATAGGTTGTTTGTAAAGATTTGGCCAAAAGATCGGCAATTGCCTGATCATTGTTTGCGGACATATTAAGAAATGATAGCGAGGATGGATCTGCGGACGTTCTACGCTTACTATTTACGAAGCTGTAAAACTGTTTAGGGCCCTATGAAAATCGTATTCTGCACCGAGATATGCAATTTTTATAGCATTTGGCGTTAAGAACGGAGAAATTTTACCGAGCTATTACACAGCGAGAGAGAAGAAGGAGAAACAACTTCTCGAATTTTTTTATAAAGTCTTAATTTAAAGTTTTTTAGACTGGATAACTCTTTGGTAAACCAAGGAGGCTTCCCAGATCTAACCGGACAAGAAAGTGGGACACAAGAATCAAAAAGTGTGTCTAGTAGATTGTAAAAAATGTTTGTGCCTTTCATAACGTCAGTGCACAAGTACAGAGCGGACCAATCAAAATCCCTAATAAGGTTATTAAGCTTCGTAAACTCGGCTTTACGAAAGCAGCGGACACGTTCAGATCGATCCAATACAGTAGGGCCAATATCACCTGACACTTCGAATGTAGGATGGTAGGAGTCTTCAGGTATAATGGGCGGAAGGGCTCGGGTTAACAACGCTATGGTCGGATCCGAGGCAAAGCACAGATTAAGCAATCAACCCAAGGAATTTTTCACATGGTTGACTTGAGACAGCGATAGGTCTAGCAAGCCGTCGATAAAGTCATGTCGTGACATGGGCAAAAGATTATTAGACTCGTTTACCGAAGACCAAGCAGTACCTGGCAAATTGAAATCACCAAGAACTATCATATGGTCTTTATCATATAGCGAGGAAGAAACAGCTTTTAAAGCGGACAGGCGATGCTCGTATATAAAGATATCCGAAGAAGGTAAAATATATGTACGAGCAAGTAATGAAAATGGAAAAGCTTGGGAAAATCAGTTTTACGCACAGGAATTCCAGGTCTTGTTCAACCTGTACTATGAAATGCTCTGACGTGAAGTTTGAGTCCACTGCAATGAGGACCCCACCTCCACGTCGAGACGAACGGTCATTTCTAAAAATTGTGTACCGACCTGCCCAAACTTCGGACACGGACTCTACAGACATTTCTAACTCTCCGAAGTGACGCATTCGGGAGCTGAATCTGCATCACCAGCAGCGATCGTTGCCCTTGGAGTAGCAAACGTAATCAACTGCTGCATTAAGGGAGTGGTCGGAGTAAGTTTTTCAGATGCCGGCGGACATGAGGCAGTCGGCACTTGCAAGCCCCGCGGAGTAGACTTCTTGCGCCTCGGAGACTCAGCCAGCAGCTGTAAACTGCTGAACTAAGTGTTCATGGCCAAGAGCCGATCATATTGCTGTTTAAAGCCTACGATCAGCTCTTTGAAGCCACTTCGCGTCTGCCTCATAAACGAACGCATGTCGTTTTCCACAGCACGGCATTCCTCACAACTATAATGCAGGCCGTTGTTTTGGGGAATGGCGTCTTCTACACGGCCCGAGATCCCTACACATTTTGCGTGCACTACGCTTTCGCAAAGCCAGCAAGGGATATTGGGCTGGTCATGGGTGATCTGCTTCTTGCTGGTTTTTTTTGGCACAGACGACGAAAATTACATATTATACCCGTACTCAAAAAAGAGTTAAAGGGTATATTAGATTTGTGGTAAAAGTGGATGTGTGTGTAACGCAGAGAAGGAAACGTTTCCGACCCCATAAAGTATATATATTCTTGATCAGCATCAATAGCCGAGTAGATATAGCCTGTCTGTCTGTCTGTCCATCTGTCTGTCTGTCTGTCTCGATGAGCGCCTAGATCTCAGAGACTATAAGAGCTAGGGCAACCAAATTTGGTTTCCAGACTTATGTGATATCCCACTGCTACAAGTGTATTTCAAAATTTCGCCCCGCCCCCACAAAGAACGAAAATCTGTGGCAGGCACATTTTTAAAGATACGATAAAACTAAAAACGCAGTATCGTAGAGAATGCCCATATCTACCAGACTGCTGAATCTGAATCAGATCGGATCATAATTATAGCCAGAATGACGAAATTAATTTTCAGTTGCTTCCCCTGCCCCCTGCCAACGACAACGCAACTCATTTTCCATCTCGCTGGCACACTCTGCCGCGTTCAGTGCGCGAGCAACCCCTAGCGGATGAGATGTAGAATCTAAATGGTACATGTATAATCTACATGTTAGATGTATAATATACATAATATATGTAGATGTAGATAACAGATGTAGCAAAAAAATGCAAAATGTAAAATTTTTTTTTTAATTCTATAACTCTAAAAAATCATATGTTCAAAAATGTAAATACTGACTGAGTACGGGTATAAGTAGAGTCGCGTCTTTAGAAGCTACTCACACGTTCCTTCTCGTTTTTTTTTTTATTTTGGGAAAAAAAAGTTCAAAGCAAATAGCAATCAGACCACTGTGCAGAGCAAATGCTTAGAGCAATGCTTAAAGCGAAATCGGTAAAAATAAGATGAGAGAGGAGAGTGGTTGCAGCAACAGCTTATAAGTGAGAGCGTTACTGCACAAAAAGTTACAAGAGCGAGAGAGAAAGGACAGTTATTGAGAGTTAGGTGATAAAGATAGTGATAGACGGCAAGTATCTTATATCTGGTTGCATAGAACTTTGCAGTTCTGAAAAGCTGCCAAATGCAACTATAAATCGTACCCAGACACTTTGTATCTGCAGCTTAACGCCTGGAAGATTCATCATTCAAATTTCATCATTTTTTTGCGGTATTTTTCCCAAAAATACTTTTTACCAAAAATTCAACCCCTTTTCGTTTGCTTTGTTTCCAATTGGCAGTTGGGCCCGCAACCTTCCAAAAAGTATTTTTTGTCTATTTTTTCACTTTTGAGGTTTGGTTAACGAATTTTAGCTCCACCTTTTATCCATAGATTTTAATGAACAATACCTTAAACGACGCCGAACTAAACTAAAACTAAAAATGCATGCCAAGAAAGGTTTTTCTTTCGACTTTTCCCGAGTTTTTAGAGTCAAAATTTTGGGAAAAATACCGCAAAAAAATGATGAAATTTGAAAGCTTAATATCTTCCAGGCGTTAAGCTGCAGATAAAAAAGGTCTGGATCTGATTTATAGCTGCATTTGTTAGCTTTTCAGAACTGCAAAGGTCTATGCAACCAGATATAAGATAGTTAAGTTATGTGAAAAATAGAAGCACAACCTCTGAAAAAAACCATGAAAGAAAATACCAGATTTTAAAAATTCTTTAAAAAAAAATTACACCATAAAAAAAATAATAAAGTACTACAAAAATTTTTAAATTCCGAAATCTATCAGAAAAAGTCATTTTTGGTCACAGCCTAAATAAAAAGTTCAATTTTGTCGAGTAGTGTTATCAGGCATGCACCCGCGGTAAAAATTGATTTTAATGTAAGTTAGAGTTTAAGTTAAACAAAAGGAAAATGCGGAGCGCAAAACAAAAACACGTCTGGTCACTACGAAAGAGAACGAACGATTGGCCAGGAAATGTTTTGATTGGATTGACAGACAGCGAAGATCATGGTAGGCTATTGCACAATCGTATTCGAAAGCAGCTCGATTTAAGTCTACTGATCGAATTTGAGCTGGTAATTGTTCAGCGCGAACCTGTGCAATATGGGCACGTCTCCATTCATTTACTTCTGCACGTTCCTCTTGCCTTAGATTAATAGAGATATTCCGATTACTTACTTTCACGACGTGTATCTTCGATTATGGTTTTTTTGAAAACTATATACAGCTGTGTTCAATGAAATAGTAGTGCCGCACCTCATCACTTTCAAAACTCTTTTTAAGACATTTCCAGTTATCGAACTTGAACATTTGATACCTTTTTAAATAGACTGGACTGTTAACATTAGAAAACCGAAGAAATATCCATACATTTGAATTACATCTTCTTGTTTCACATGACATAAGCCGAATACCCATAAAATATGCTGTTCAATGAAATATTAGCGTTTTTTTTGAAAATTGAAAAAAACAACGAAACTCGAATAAAAACATATATTTAATTTTCTTCATGTTCAATTTGGTTTTCATTGCGAACTTTCACCGGCCGGATATGGGTCATTAATCTCTTGCCAACGCTTCAATAGGATTTGAGCCAATAATCCATGAACAACTTGCTAAAACTTGGCTCTGGTTCACGGATTTGCAGTTGCAACAATTTATTTGGTATTCAGCATTAGATTTCGATGAGATTTATATCCAGTTGGACAGTTGGCCATGGCAAAACGTCGATCTTTTCCGATAAAAATCCTGTTAAAAGATCCTTTTAACATCAATTTTTCAACTGTAATATGAATGTAATGTATTCTAAAGTATACATACATACACAGTTTCGCTCAAAACCATACTATACTGAAACGACTAGGCTAGAAAGTACTAGCTTATATGAGCTGGGCACCATAAGGCTCAGCCTAGCATTCCCAATGCTATTTTATTCATGATTTTTGGTGGTAATCGGATTTCTGTGAATGCCAAACATATTCTTTTGAGTCTATCTTACCATATAATACAACTTTACTATCATCAGTCAAAAGTATTTTTGTCACTGTGACAGGCCATTCCACATGCGCTTTTCCAAAATGTACTCTCAGATCCAAACGCGGAGCTTTCTGGGACTTCTTGCATTCAAATAATGTATAATAGACCGTCTAAGAACTATCACATCACTGACAGAGCGATTTAAAATTTTTTTCATAATTTTTGAGGATTCCACCATCGCCGACCATCCTCTAAAAAATGGTTTTTTCGCATACAAAATCGATTTCCAGTCTACTTCTTTAAGTTAATTGGGTTAAATACAATATTAAGAGTGCATACAACTTAATTTTCAATCCATTTTTATTATTATTATATGTATAGATTTTATACTTTTTATACTCGTAATCGAAGAGTTATGAAATATATTGTAATTGTGTGTAACGCAGAGAAGGAAACGCCGACCCCATATAAAGTATATATATTCTTGATCAGCACCAATATCCGAGTCTATATAGCCATGTCTGTCTTTCCGTCCGTCCCGATGAGCGCGTACAGCCTCTAGCATCCTTGTAGGTAACTAAAAGAGAGGAAGAAGAGTGGGATAATGAGGGTGGAGATGGAACACTGGTCTGATTTTGATTAGGGAGAGGTCTTATCTTTTTTTAGCCTTAAACTCTTTCACCACTAAATGCTCCGGCCAAAATTAAGTGGGGGGGACGCTTATCTTAAAGGAAGCTATCCCTAGCATAAGAAAAGTTAAATATCTACCTTTAGGCAGCTACATCATTGGATGTGATGGCAATATCCGGTGGTCCTGGACGTCTGTTTACTGGTGGGATCGAACTGGATGGTATAGATAAATAAATTGGTGCGGACACGGAGGCTACAGACGTTTCTGGCTGCATTCTCTCCGAGATGATCAATTCGGCTTCCGAATCTGCATCACCAGCAGCTGTCGTAGCCCTTTGAGTGACAGTTGCTGCACTATAGGAGTGCTCGGAGTCAGTGTTGCATCGGCCAGTGGTTGAGAGACAGTTGGCACTTGCAGATCCCGCGGAGTTTATTTTTTGCGCCTAGGAGACTCATTCAGCAGTTTAAAACTGCAAAATTGAGACTCCATGGCTAAGAGGCGATCGTAAAGCTGCTTAAAGCCGACGTTCACTTCCTTAAAGCCTTTTCGCGTCTGCCTTCTTAACATGACCATGTATTTCTCATCCAGACGGCATGCCTCACAACTGTAATGCAGGCCTTACGTTTCGATATAGCATCACCCACCATGCCCGAAAACCCAACGCATTTTGCGTGCACTACGTTGTCACAGAGCCAGCAAGGGATGCTCGGCTGGTCGTGGTTGATCTTCTTCTTGCCGGTTTTGGCGAAACTGAGTAATCCATAAGTCCCATAAGGAGTAAAAAATAAAATAAAATATAATAATAATATTTCAAATTGAAAACAAATAGCTATCAGACCAAGGTACAAGGCATCAAGTGAAATCGGTAAAGAGTGAGAGAGGAGGAGAACAGTTGCAGCAGCAGCTAATGAGAGAGGGAGCGCTACTGCAAGGAAAGTTTCGTGAGCGAGATCGGAAGAACTGTTAGTTAGGTATAGATGATAGGGAAAGAGTGATAGAACACCTACGACAAGAGAGCTTAGTTTGTAGTTTGTGTGTACTTACGGAAAGCAAACAATTAACACACGACTAACCGCGCACAAAATCTATATACATATATAAAAAAAAGAATCCCTATTTCCCATTGCTCACGGCATCACGCGTGAACGGCTGGACCGATTTGTTAATTCTTTTTTTTATTATACCCGTACTCAAAAAAGAGTTAAGGGCTATATTAGATTTGTGGTTAAAGTGGAACTGTGTAACGCAGAGAAGGAAACGTTTCCGACCCCATAAAGTATATATATTCTTGATCGGCATCAATAGCCGAGTCGATGTAGCCATGTCTGTCTGTCTGTCCGTCTTGTTGAGCGCCTAGATCTCAGAGACTATAAGAGCTAGGGCAACCAAATTTGGTTTCCAGACTCATGGGATATCACACTGCTACAAGTGTATTTCAAAATTTCGCCCGCCCCCTTCCGCCCCCACAAAGGACGAAAATCTGTGGCAGGCACATTTTTAAAGATACGATAAAACTAAAAACGCAGTATTGTAGAGAATAACCATATCTACCAGATTGCCGAATCTGAATCAGATCGGATCATAATTATAGCCAGAATGAAGAATTTCATTTTCATGTTCTTCCCCTGCCCCCTCCTGCCGACGACCAAGCTACTCATTTTCCTTCACGCTCGCACACTCGCCGCGTTCAGTGCGCAAGCTACCCCTAGCGGAGGAGATGTACATTCTAAATGGTACATGTACAATCTATATGTTAGATGTATAATATACATTGTATATGTATATGTAGATAACAGATGTAGCAAAAAAAATGTAAAATGTAAAATTTTTTTTTAAATTCTAAAATTCTAAAAAATCATAAGCTCAAAAATGTATACTGACTGAGTACGGGTATAAGTAGAGTCGCGTCCCCAGAAGCGACTCACACGTTCCTTCTCGTTTTTTTTTGTTATTGTCAGGAGAAGTTTATTTTGAAAGAAAAAATTAAGAAAATTGAGCGGAAAATTAGAAAATTTTGTTTGTTTTGTTGTATGAAGTAGGCCTGTCCTTGGCTGTCAAACGCTTGCTTGATTTTTTGTATGGAATGTGTTAGATAAATTAAACAATAAATTCAGTCGGATTCGACTGCTTAAATAGTATAGATGAAATAAATCTTTTTAGACCGATTTTGCTAATTATTTAAAAATTGTTTAAAAGTGCTGAAAAAGTCCGAATGAGTATGAGTATTATCATCATTAATATATGTATACAGATTAATAAAGATGCTGCACAAGAAGATGGTTTTCAAATATGAATGAGGAAGAACGGAAATCCGTGTGAGATAATAACATGAAGCATCCATATGCGTAGCGGGAGATGGAATGGCAGTCGATCAACTGAAGATGCCGGAAATGGGAATGGAATATTGTGTATTGTGTATACCCTCCAAATCCAAATTTATGTTGTACGTATTATTCGACTCACTTCTCATCCATGCAACCCTAATGTGCCACAGTGAAACGTGGCTGCGTACAGCTAGTAAATAAATAATTATGTTTATTACACAAGTTAATAGGCATGCCTCGCAGTTCAGGATAGGTTTTAGATTTTGACTTAATTAGAGAGTATTTAATTAAGGTTTATTTTAAAAAATACCGGCTGTTAATAAAACAAAAGGAAAGATGCGGAGTGCAACAAAAACAAGTCTGGTCACTACCAAAGATATCGTGGTCACGATTGATTAGCCTATTTTTCCTGTTCTTAGAGATATATTGCTACATACATATATAAAGAAGCTGGGTACCGGTTATCTTAATGTCGACAAAAACGTTCCGACTAGTTTTTATTTTGTGTTTTTATTATGTACTTTGACTTTCAACTTATTTCTAAAGTAATTTGTGTGTGAAACAAATTAAAGGTTCCATTAAGTAAGCAAGTTACTTGTTCACGGGAACCGCTTTATTCACAGCCCCTACTTGGTTCGGAGAAACCATTTGGCGCGTCCGTTCTTTTTCGTAAGAACCAAAACTTTGACCGTGAAGTTTCCGGAAAAGCCAGCACTAGTAAATCAACTTTGGACAATCCAGCTGTATTGGAACAGCAACTAGAAGCCCTGGCGTATCACAAGCTTCAAATGGAAAAGAAAGGCCTCTTAGGACTACAAATGCAATCAACAAAATCTACCACAAGTATTCCAAAGTTATCATCTAACTCCTTGGGCAACAGTATTATCTACAGTAACTTAAAAATGCCGTCTGATAGTACACCACAAACAGAAAATAAACCGTTAACATTTGGGTGCCCGTCTTCTGAACCCGCCACACTTTACTCCAATATTAATTCAGCAGGTAAAAGGTACTGGCCTAAATAGAAAAATGAATTTTACTTAATATAACATTTCAGATACAAACACTAATGCCAGTGTGTCATCGCTGCGTTCCTTACCTAGAATGATTTCCGTCTGTACTAACTCATTGTCAGAGAAGGAAAGAGAAGAAGATATGCCGCCCCCTCCTAGCCCTGTAAGTGCTGTTAGCTCTTCCTATAGCGAGCTACGACGTGCCACCAATTTGTTCAACAAGCCAATGGATTTGGTCGAAAATGATTTAAAACTTCTGCCACCGCCCAAATCATGTATTAATGCTACAAACAACTGTTCAAGTCAATATTCGATGCTACATAACGCAATGATTAAGGTAAATGTATATATCAACATTTCACGGTGGCCTGGTAGAGACTTGGTCGTTTCAAACACGACATATCTCCGATCGGTTTACGTCGTTATAAAAAGGAAATTTTTCTGCGCGGACATACATATGAAATTGAACTCCGCGGAGATATGACGTCGCGCTTCGCACAGTGGGTATCAGCCGAAAAGAAGTGTAAAAAGCAGTGCTGCTAAATCCTCTTTATTCCCGTCATATCTAGCTGTATGTGAAGACCAATTGCTGAACAAATTTGGGAATTGTGGGAAGCGGGAATTCTGGATTTTTATACCCATACTCGAACAGTTACAGTGTATATTAGATATTTGGTATCACACTGTTAAAATTTACGTGTAGCAGATGTAGCAAAAAAAATGTCAACAGATACAAAATTTAACAATTCCACATAAATCATAGCCCCACATATGTATGTACAAAAAACTGGCAGGCTTCTCATTTTTTTGGATCGCTATTTGCCACTTAACCACTAGTTTTAAGCAAGCCATCATCTCTATACCAAATGTAGATTAACATTTATGAACATTTTCGAAATGCCAAAAGACTATGAGCAAAAGTGCAGAAAGAAATACTTGGCTAAAAAGCGAATTCGAAAGCGAAATCATTGCTTGGATTCGCAATGATGACACAGATGAGCATAAGTGTACTGCAGCTATTGCAAAATCACTATCACAAGTGCTTCAAGCAAAAAAGTTTACCTGTCCACAAAATCTTGTGCGCTAAGAAAAATGGAGTTAGCGACATATTGATGTACATATTGTGAAAGCCAATATAGGCGATGTTCATTGATTAAAATGGGAAACCATCAGCGACACTTTCAAATGTGAGGCTAACTTTTATAAAGATTCTGGTAGAAACCGCAGATTTCTAGAGCTAGCAGCTTTTTCGCTCCAAGTGTTATCATTGCCGTGGTCAAACGAATTCAGTGAACCTGACACGACCAATAGTATTCTGAGCATAAGGTATAATGAGTAAATGGAGTTAATACTTTAAAAAAAACTATTAAGTATCACGTTACTAGAAAAAGTAGTAAACCCATAAACTTCGTTTACTAGGCTTTTTTCTGGAATTGTTCAGTTTTTAGAAAGCTGAAATATAAAGTGCTTGAATACAATTTATAGCTGCATTTATTAGCTTTTTAGAATAAAATAGTTCACTACAAACAGATGTAAGAGACGAAAATTCATCTTTTTTTGTTGGAACAATATATTATTTTTTTCCTTTTTTAATTTTATTTGACTTTTCAGAATTGGCACTGGTTAAAAAACACAGCTGATTCCTCAGAATATTTTAGTTGTGTTCCACACACGAACGAAATAACTAGCAAATTCCTGGCAGGAATTTGTGTGTATGTGTGGGACATAACTAGAACAGTGTGACCGTGCATTTTATAAATAGTAAATAGTGGTAAATAGTGCTAGTTCTGAAAGTTCAACTATGTGCTGTGTGACACAAACTGAGCGCAAAATGTAATTGCATGTTGTTATCTGCCCAAAAATAAGGCGCCACGTCTTAAATAATATGTGTCGCAACTCGTGGTTTTAAAAGGCAATAGGTAATAGTGCAAGCTGAGATTAATCAGCTGAAAGTAATTAAATTTTTTTTTGTACGTTAGCATTGTTATTTTGATTTTACGGTATAATGCCACATGAAACACATTTTTCGGAGGACGATCGCGTCTGATCAAAGGGCTGGCCGAATCTGGCGAGACCATTTCTTATATTGCCGCCAGACTAAATTGGCATAGAACCACAATTACAAACTTTCTCAGAAATCCGGAAATGTATGGAAATGTAAGCAGACCGGGAGACTCACTGAAATCGATGCACGACGCATAAATCTAATTTTAAACGATAAAGAAACGGTTATATGTGGTTCCGCGGCGCACAGTGGGGCCTCCGGCCATTTCAACTTGCTAAATTAATAGCTTCCAAACTAATTAAGATATTCTCATGAAATAAACTGCATTTGACCCATATATGTAGAAAAATAAAGAAAATATAAATCTCGAGGCTAGTTTCGAAAAGTATTTTTCTATAGTTGTAGTTGAAGAATACCAAAAAATTAATATTTTGAAAAATTAAATTTTCTTTAAGAGTCTTTCCAACAATACATTTTTTTTTTGTTTAGCAATATTACCAATATTTATACCTCAAATTAGAGATCAAAACAATAATCATACATGTCATAGTTTACTTTGACCTGAATGATACAGTATGTGCATTCAAGTTATCCAAAGCCCTCGCTCAGAAAATGACTTGCCACCTTTTTCGGTTAAGACCTATAATTTTCTGAGAAGTTCAAAACAAAATTTTATTTGGACGGTCCTGACTCCTGCCAAAGGAATTGGCGCGGATGGAGGATTGATTAATAATGTTTTAGGCTGGATTTGGGTATGCTGGGAAGTCTCCAATTTTTTGTATGCCAATCAAAACAAATTCAGTAATTTAAATAGAGTTGTTAGAAACAACACCCATTGAATTTTCAGGAGACCTTTACGAGGATGAGTGGATGTTCCAGCAAGACATCGCGCCAAAGCTAGGAGATACCCTTATTTCAATGGCCAGTGTTCAGCCTGAAGCTAAACCCAATAAAAGATTTTTGTGTAATATTATCCAATAAAGATTATATGAATGGAATCCGGATTTCGTACCTTTTTTTTACGAATTTATCTTCAAAAAATGGGTGAATTAAGAAGAGACGACATTTTTACCCCTGGCTGATATGATATCGATATTTTATCGGTCAAATGGGAATTCGCACGTTGTTGTTGTTTTAGCCCCTGCCACTAACCATACAGTATATAGATGTGCCAGTTCATACATGTCTTCGACTCTGGGATTGACCGCGTTCGGCTCGTGACGTGACACGACAGCAAGCATGTGTGTGTATGTGTAAAACTCCAAAATATATGATTGTATGCATGGAATAATTTTTAGCTGCGGAATACAAAACCGTCTTGAGGTTGCGTAAATGTAGGTGTGCCACGTATTCTTGCATACTGTTTTTTTCTGTTCACATTTTGCGTCGATGTTGTCTTTTCAGTTCACATACCTTATGTGGCAGGCACATTTTTAAAGATACGATAAAACGCAGTATCGTAGATAATGACCATATCTACCAGATTGCCGAATCTGAATCAGATCGCATCATAATTATAGCCAGTATGAAGAAATTCATTTTCAATTGCTTCCCCCGCCTACTTCAGCCAGAAACCCGCTACTCATTCTCTTTCTCACTCGCACACTCTGCCTCGTTATTTACGCGAAAGCCCTCTAGAGGAGATGTAAAATCTGAATGGTACATATATAATCTACATGTTAGATGTATAATATACATTGTAGATGTAAACAACAGATGTAGCAAATAAATTTAAAATGTAAAATTTTTTTATTTTAAAATTGTACAAAATTAAATCAAAATCAAAATTGTATATACTGACTGAGTACGGGTATAAGTAGAGTCGCGTCCCCAGAAGCGACTCGCACGTTCCTTCTCGTATGTTCTCTCTTAGAGAATAAGAAGTTAGGAAGTTGAAGTAGACAAATATTTCAATTTCAAATTTAAAGCAAGAATAGAACATTTTCATTCTCTCAGCTGCTTTTTCGGACAATTCTTTTAACTTCGGTGGATCGCTTTTAATTTTATTGATATATCGGTTACGTTTTTCACTTGCTTAAAAGTTAAAGTTAAAGAAAAAAAATACTTACGGTCGCGATTTTAAGCTACTTTGAAAATCAAAATAAAAAGTCTCTTTGCATGTTTCTCTTATTAATAGATTGCAATAAAGAGAATTGGTAGAAAGAGTGCAAACATAACATATGTTTTGCATGTGAAATAATTAAATATAAAAATGCCTTTAAAAGTAGCTAAAAGCGAAGAAATCACATTTTTCAGTTTTCAGGCAAATTTCCTCATGAAAACAGTTCATTTGTTCATTTTGACATGAATGAATATAATGAAAATGCACATATACGAAAATTCATTTTCATCAGAAAAAATGATTATATTTTTTTCCCTCATAAAAGTTTCTATTTAGAAGGAAAAATGTGCAGTTCGTTTTGAAATCGCGAGCGCATAAGCAACCGGTTTCAAATCGTAAAAATTCTGCGATTTACGAAAACAGCAGCACACATTTTTACGATGTCACAATCAAATCGCAGCTTTTTGCGATTTGCAATAACCGGAGCATGGCTAAATATTGTCTTTTTTTTTAATACGAGGGCACATCAATAAGGATGCATGAGACTTAGTCCCAAAATATGAACCCAACACGTTAGGAGATCCTCAGGACTATGTTGAAAGTACAGAGTAGTGTGAGTAGGTGGGTGTTGGAAATTTAGGTAGATTTTCTAGGGCAGACTCCATGTGTCCTTGGTGCAGGGACTCCGTCCCAGGATTTACACCCGTACACAGGAGGGCCTCAGAGTAGTGAAGTAGAAGTAGTTGAAAGAGTTTAAAATTTATCGGAGTACAGTTTCTAATCTCTGAACCACGTGGACCACCCCCAGTGGCGATAGTGGAAACAGATCAACTCGCCTATTTACACCGGATATTTTCCAAGTGTATGCTTTTGAGTTTTGAGATGATCAATCATGTATGCAAGTTAAGCAACAGGCTGCTCGTAGAGATAAAAAAAAAAAACATCCGTTCTTGGTTCATGAAATAGTATACATTTTTTCACTCCTGTTTTATAAATGGGCATATCTCTGAAGTCGAATGGGACATTCGTGCGCACTGAAAGTGGTGGAAAGGTAAAGAAAGGACTGCTTTTCAAACAAAATTTTCATTATAACGCACTTCTTGACTAAGTGCAGAGGTCGGCTCACTATTCGTATTTAAAATTTTACAACAAAATTTCTCGTCTTTCCATTCAAACTCAGTTTTCAGCGAAAGTTGAGGCTATATATTAATGCGTATTTCTGATCAATTTTGTGCATTGATGTCTGTTTTAAATCAACTTCAATTTTGCATGTGTTTTATTAGACTATTAGCTATTTTTACCAAAAATATTCATGACCATAGCGATCAGCCTTCCTTATATTTTCGGGTACTTTGCGCATAGCCTCCGAATTCCCTTTCTATCGATTTTAGCTCTCTTTTGATTTTTATACCCGTACTCAAAAAGATTTAAGGGTTATATTAGATTTTTGGTAAAAGTGGAAGTGCGTAATGCAGATAAGGAAACGTTTCCGACCCCATAAAGTATATATATTCTTAATCAGCCTCAATAGCCGAATCGATATAGCCATGTCCGTCTGTCCTTCTGTCCGTCTCGATGAGCGCCTAGATCTCAGAGACTATAAGAGCTAGAAAAACCAAATATGGTTTCCAGACTCATGTGATATCACACTGCTACAAGTGTATTTCAAAATTTCACACCGCCCCCCACCGCACAATTTTAAAGATACCAGAAAAATAAAAACAGTCGATGTTTTTTGGCTTAAATCTCTTGCTGAAAACATTTCTTTTAAATTAAACCCAAAACTTTTCAATTGGCCTTAGCTGGGGCACATTTGGAAGGTTTTGCAGCTTAGCACGAATTCAATGCTCAAGTGGTCAAGAGCCTCTAGAGTTGTTTTGGCATAATGTCGGGTCAAAAAAACACCGTACAATCATTCGCATGATACTTATCAATACATCTTTTAAGCGCAGGAATTGTCCTTGTAATTTTGAACATTTACAGCCAATTCTGCGGAAGAGGGCGGGACGAAATTTTGAAATATACTTGTAACAGTGTGATATCAAATGAGTCTGGAAACTAAATTGGGTTGCTCTCGCTCTTCTAGTCTTTGAGTACTAGGCGCTCATCGGGACGGGCAGGCAGACAGACAGACAACGACTCGGCTATTGATTCTGATCAAGAATAGATGTACTTTCTTGGGTCGGAAACGTTTCCACTTTGACCACAAATCTAATATACCCATTAACTTGTCGAGTACGGAACCATTCATTTCAAGGGAACATTCTTTGTCATCGGAGCTAGACTTACTGATGTACGTAGCTGTGCAATGGAAGTGTATTGATGCATGAGAAATATCAGCTTAACCGCTCAGCCCACAGGTCTAAAAAAAAGTTATGATTTAGGGTTATTACTTCATTTGTTAGATAAGTACATATACGGTTTATTTCTATTTTTGCAGAGTTCATCGACATATGATTCAATCTATGAGCCTATAAATCCTCGCCCACCTGGCGATTTGCTGTCCCGTGCAAGTTACAATATGTATGATACATATGTAAATGATAACAACATTGGGAGTAGATCCTGTGATTCCAATTCTTTGACAGCAATTGATTTGAAAAAGCCACTATTTGTAAGAGGCGGTGCCCTGCCTGAATGTTACGATGAGCAAAATACTTATCAAAATAAAAATTCGAATGATTGTGGTATGGGACTCTGTGCTGGCGATCCAACTCACCAAACACATGAATTTGAAAATTATGGTACGTCAAACCTGCTGGAATACTTATTTAAAACTAATTAATATTGATTCCCCGGCTAGGTCGGTGCGTCAAATGCAATAAGCGAGTGCTGGGGGAAAGCAGTGGTTGTACGGCAATGGATCAAATTTACCATATATCCTGTTTCACATGCACAGACTGCCAAATAAATCTTCAGGGTAAACCATTTTATGCCCTGGAGGGTAAACCATACTGCGAATATGACTATTTGCAAACTCTTGAAAAATGCTCAGTTTGCATGAAGCCCATTTTGGAGAGAATTCTCAGAGCTACTGGAAAACCGTACCATCCGCAATGCTTTACATGTGTTGTGTGTGGGAAAAGTTTGGATGGTTTATTGTTCACCGTTGATGCCACTAATCAGAATTATTGCATTACCGATTTTCATAAGTAAGAGATTTGATTTAAGGCCACTATTTCTATTATTGCATGTTTATTTTACTGCTAATTATAGAAAATTTGCCCCACGTTGCTGCGTTTGCAAGGAACCAATTATGCCTGAGCTAGGGCAAGAAGAGACAGTACGAGTGGTGGCCTTGGACCGTAGCTTTCACTTGGAATGCTATAAATGCGAGGTAAAATATTTTACTGGATCACTTTCGTAATGAATTAGTAAAAATTTGTATGTTTATTTTAAAAGGACTGTGGACTCTTATTATCATCCGAAGCTGATGGTCGTGGGTGCTATCCTTTAGATGATCATATCCTTTGTAAGAGCTGCAACGCCCAACGTGTTCAAGCTTTAACGAATCGTATGACAACGGAGCATTAAATCTAGCATTATATCTTATTCACCGATAAACAAATAGTCGAATTTGTTTTCATTCCATACATATTACTTATTCGTTATTATTTTATCGCAAAGCTATGAAACCAAAAATATTCGTACTTATTCATAGAGCCGTATATACCTATTAGTTGAACCCGCCGCGACTTTGTACATGTGCAATTATTTAAATAAACATACAAATTTTTTAAGCTATATACACCTGGGTGAGTGTGCTTTTGTATCCAACACTACGCATGGGGTGCGCGTAAAAAAAGGAAAATCTAAGCCCGGAGCTGTCAGATGTAATAACACTAGGCAACAAATTTTAATTTTATTACTTTTACCTTATAAAGAGAGTTACATCGAAGCTTTAAAAGCCACTAAAAAACTAAAATGACTGATTTGATAAACCAGAAGAGCCAACACAAAAAAAACTTTTTGATTTATTAAAAACCAATTTGAATAATAAAACAATTTTTTTGCCTACATTTTTTAATTCTAGGAACGTAACCCCTTATATTATACTAAACACCTAACACGCTTTCGCCTAAAACGATGTTTTCCAGGAACGTAACCCCGCGTTACTGGTTTACTGATATAACTGAAGGTTGTGAGGAAAGCATCACGTCGCTAGCAGATATTTCCATCACACACTACACGGTTTTCCTGGTCGAGAAAAGGGAAATGCGTACTTACCGCATGAATCGTCTGAAGAGACTGCGCTTTAGCACGGGAAAGTATCTCAAATCGAACTCCCCAAAAATATCTACGAGCCGACTCCGACTCGCCATTTGTTCAACATAGGGTTACCACAAGCACCATGATGCTGTGCCTTGAAACACCTAAAACCGGGAAGTTCATCTGTTATATAATTATTCCAAAGCTTTGGAATATTTTAAATTTATATCATGTTATCGGTGGATTGGCCGTTTCACCGGCGGGACGGACAAGAACCTGGCTTCGTTGGGTGCCATCGCCATGATGAAATGCTCCCCCGCACATTGAGGCTTAAAATAACCACCCATTATTGCGACTCAATAAATAAATAATGAAATATTTTAGTTTTTTACCAAAAACTCTTGAAGGCAAAGCACACAAGTAGAAACGATCCAAAACCTAACCGTTTACTAAGGAAGAAATCATACATAACATACATAAGTGTTCAAATGTGATTGGGAAGGTAAATTTTTGTCTGTAAAAACACTTAAACTTAAGAAAATCAAAAGAGAGTCGCCGAAATCAGCAATTGTGTTTATAAAATAAACATTTTTCCTCTTCTAATGTATATAATATATTTCAAAATCGTTGAGAGTTAGCAACAAATGTTATGAGTCCAATAAGGCAAAGCCGGAAACAACACAAAATCCTGAGAATAACATCGACCGCATAACCAGTAACCTTGCGTTACTTGGCAATACAAAAATATGCAAATTATCTGGGTCAGTTTTTTATTTTGCAACGGAAGGGAAAATGCATGTAGGGAACATTTTTGACTATAAATTATTAATAGACGATATTTTATAGCCATAGCTGATTCGATTCAAACTTTTCAATCAAGTTTTAAGCGTGGCTTTAACTTAGTTTAGTCAATTCTTTTTCTGAACGCAGTACAATACATACATATTAAGTCAGAACCGCCAAGAACAAGTCTGCGAGAATCCATCAAACGCTCCGTGGTTTCAGTTTTATTAGTAGACTTGCTCGGTACCAGAACCTTTGAACACACTTGCCTCTCGCAATAAGAATGTGTTAGTATGTTGAATTGGGCCTAACAAAAGGTATTTTTGTCGTTAGTGGAAAAAGTTACATTGCCATACGAACTTTGACGGCCATTTCCACCACCAGATAGATATTCTGCATGTACGCAGGTTGACAGACGCGGTAAGAATTTCCGTGCTCTATGCTCCCTGCAATCAGATAACGATATTTTGCCTGGGATCCGCGCATAACAGGCATCGTGTAGCTTGGTCTTTGTAACTTAACTGTACCGTCAAATAGACAAATTTATATGATACTGTAATAATGCTTTTTAGCATCAAAAATTCGCTAAGATTAGTTTTGGTTATAAATACATATGTGAAGACCCATTATGCAAATCTCTATATTATCTTTCCGTCTTAATAAAATTTTCTGTTTTTGTTTAATCACCAGAGGCTAGGCTAGGTTGGCTGTTGGGCATACCGCATCTTGTTTTTGTCTGATCAAAAAAATAGCTTTCGACACCAATTTGAATTTGTTAGCAACAAGCGGCCGCTTTCGACGTAAAGAAAGTTCGATATACGGGCACATCACTGCGCATACTCCTAGCATTGTACTACGTCTGCAGCAAATATGGCCTTCGTAGCCGTAAGTTTTAATTTTGCTTCACGAAAGTCAGGGAAAAAAATTCAGCACAAAGCTTTTCTGCTCGGCACTTCTACTTTAATCGAACCAAACGAGACAGTAAAGTCTCGTCATTCAGTATTGAATTCGATTTTCAAGCAAACGGACGTTCTCAAAATTTCTATATCTATTATTACGCGTCGTGTGTTCTCAGTGCGCTATATCCATACATACTTATACATAAATATACATATGTATGTTCGCATATCGGAACTTTTATTTTCCGTATTGACATTTAAACTTATATTATATTGTCATAATTAACATTTTATGATTCCCCGATTTTCTTATATATGTATTCGTAATACATTGTTTTAAGTGAATCCATCCTAATACATCATAAATTTAATTTATTAAGGTATTGATATAATATTTATATATCTGTTTTATTCTCATCTACCTATATATATATGTATATGTATGTAAATCTATACCCACGTACACAATTGTGGATCTCAGGCTCGGAAGAAATTCAAAAATATAACCATACGTAAATATGTACATACATATATTCATTTTTATTATTTTAGGTTAAAATATACATATATATATATCTATGGTATGCATAGGTGAAAGGTATATGACCGTTTTTGCTCTCCTTGCTACAACTTGGTTGGCACTACTTCACTTGCCTCGCCCTATGTTTTAAAGGACTTTTTGCAAAAAATACATATATATCTACGTATGTATTCATATGTACATGATTAATCGCATAGTTCATACATATGATTAAATTAAATCTGGACCATTAACATTAGCATACGACTATATAAAAAACAAGGAATATATTGTATGTACATATGATTGTTTTCTTACAAATACAAATGCAACGGCAGTTGGAAAATTTGGAATATTCATGCGCAAGCAATATGGATGTTTGTCACAAGGAAGCAGCAGTACATACACTTGTGCGTGTGGTTGATGTACATACATGTGTATGTATGTACATCTTTGCATTATCTAAAATATGTACATTTGTACACAAAATAAACCAGCATATTCTAAAACATGATTAAAATCTTAAAATACCGTTTTTATGTGTATATACTGGTAAGCCTTTGTGGTAAACAAAATTTAAAAAATGAAATGAATCGCAACAAGTTTTACTTGATGTCCTCATGTGGCATCCTTATTGGGGGCGGGGCGTCTTAAAATTAAGCTCAATAAAAAGCTCCCGTGCAAGAAAATCAGGATACATAGAAAAGGATACATAAACTTGCTCTTTGACAATATGTACATTACTATGAACCACATTTCGTTTCGGTTATGATTTGATGCGGTGCCCTTTCTTCAGTAATGTAATGGATCAACATTGCTCTGAAACACCTGTCGCTTTCAGAAGTAAATTTGGTTTAGTCAATAAAAATAATATGTGCTACAGATAGTATTATGCCACCTATGTATACCATTATACCAATATTGATTTATATTTTACTAGTGCCTGGTAAAGCAACCAGATTTCAGAAGGTACTTGAAAGGTACATTTTAAGTACTTCAGACGTGTTTATGCGGGATACATACATAAATATACATATGTATATGGGTGTGTGTTAAAAATGTAGGACTTTTTTAGGTGGCTAAAAGTTTTTGTTTATATATTAAGCATGGTTAGTAAATTTACTTGGTCCTTAACACCATGTATTCTATTCTTGAATCAGCATATTGATTTTGACCAAAAGCTCGCAATGCACTCAGAATATACAGACGTTTGCATGCTCCTACAGACAAATTCGTATGTATGTACATATGTATATTGCGTTTAATTGATATCGAAGTCTATTTTGATATATTTCTAATCGAATTTTGATTTGATGTGCCAATAAGACTTTGAAGAATTATTAAAACAATATTCTTACTTCCTCCTGACATGAACATAAAAATGTATTTGTATATAAATAACAGTGACATAGTTAACACAGTTAACGAAATTCATCATATATGATGAAAACTTTAATAAATTTACGTAAACAACATCAATTTTATTTTTAGTTTGAAAAACAATGCCGCTTTCTACTTCGACAATTAATAGTGATGGGAGTTTAGTACCGATAACAATAACAAGTCGCAACACAACATTAAAAATCTAATATTGAATTAAGTAAGCAATTTATATCAGAGGAGTACTTTTTATAATTAGAGTACCAAACCATTAAATAAACAATCAGTAAACCGGTGTATGTTCGAAATAGAGCGGAGACACAAAACAATAACGAGATCTCTGCCGGTACTTTAACCTGTCTTATTATAATAAATGTGTTTGTGTATCTCACATATGTACATATATTCGTATGATAATCATAATGTATAATGATACTCTAACTCTAATTTTATGAATGTATTTATATTGTTTGATTACTTAAAAGGAAAAATTAACAACGTTGGAAGGGGAAATATAGGCGCGCTGCAAAATCACAGAGATCGAGCAATTTTATACAACGCTTTGCTGACAATTTATTGCCGAAATAGATTTTCTTAAGTGTGCCATCGCGATGGCTGCTCCAGCAGCCTGTACGCGTTTTTCGGACAATTACGACATCAAAGAAGAGCTAGGAAAGTATGTTCACTGACCATTGTATTGTTGCACATGCACACAAAATTGTTCGATTTTTCAGAGGTGCCTTCTCAATTGTAAAAAGATGTGTCCAAAAATCAACTGGATTTGAATTTGCTGCAAAGATTATAAATACTAAAAAGTTGACAGCAAGAGGTAAGAATATGTAAATTTTTTCCAGACATGTTATCATGCAGACTGTTCTGTATACACTGTATACTGTATATACTGTTCTGTATACTGTATACAAGGTTAATTCATATTTTATAAATAAACAATTTTTTTTAAGATTTTCAAAAACTAGAGCGTGAAGCTAGGATCTGCCGAAAATTGCACCATCCAAACATTGGTATGTCTTGGAATTACACGCCATTATTTTTTTTTAATTATAACAATGTTATTATATATTTCAGTGAGATTGCATGACAGTATCCAGGAGGAGAACTATCATTATCTTGTTTTTGATCTGTAAGCATTAAAGTTCAATCTTGAAATAACTTCCAAATATTTTACCGTTATCTATTACCGAAAATTATTGTATTGTTACATTTTTCGTATGATATGTAGATTTGTTCGGATCTCTCAAGAAATGACTTGACTATTGTTTATTGAGATTCATACTTCATCCTTTCCCCTCCGAGTTCTACGTTCATATATGTATGAATATGTATGTGTATTTTCTGCATAAAAAGTTAACGCAAATACATTGTTCTTGTGGTAGGAGCTTTAAGCTCTATTAATTACTATAATTCGTATAAGTAATTTAATTAAAATTTAAAATTAATATAGAACTTCAATCCAGCCAAGAAATCAACAAAATTGACTATGCATACATACATTTTCAGTGTAACTGGTGGTGAACTTTTCGAAGACATTGTTGCACGCGAATTTTATTCAGAGGCTGATGCATCACATTGTATTCAACAAATATTGGAATCGGTCAATCACTGTCACCAAAACGGTGTGGTGCATCGAGATCTGAAACCTGAGAATTTACTATTAGCTAGTAAGGCAAAGGGTGCAGCTGTGAAACTCGCTGACTTTGGTCTAGCCATTGAAGTTCAAGGCGACCATCAGGCCTGGTTTGGATTTGCTGGCACACCAGGTTACCTATCACCGGAGGTATTAAAAAAGGAGCCGTACGGAAAATCGGTAGATATATGGGCATGTGGTAAGCAATTGATTTTTTTTCTGAAGTTTATTACGCATGCATACTCGTATAAGCATCATGACAAGATTATCAATAATATGCTTTACACTGTCCTGTAACTATTTTTTTATTTCATCTCAGGAGTTATTCTTTACATACTTTTGGTGGGTTACCCACCATTTTGGGATGAAGACCAACATAGATTATACTCACAGATTAAAGCTGGAGCCTACGATGTAAGTACCTTTTTTTACTCATATCATGTCAATAACGTTTAATTATTGTTCATCTCTTTAGTATCCATCGCCAGAATGGGATACAGTAACACCAGAAGCAAAAAATCTAATCAATCAAATGCTAACTGTGAATCCAAATAAACGAATAACTGCATCCGAGGCTCTGAAGCACCCATGGATTTGTGTAAGTAGCGTCCAATATGTATCATATATATCAAATCATCTCCGTATTTCCAGCAAAGGGAACGTGTGGCTTCTGTTGTGCATCGTCAAGAAACCGTGGACTGTCTGAAGAAATTTAATGCGCGTCGCAAGCTTAAAGGAGCTATACTTACGACAATGTTGGCTACCAGAAATTTTTCCAGTAAGTAATTTTCTAAAAAAAAATATAGATGCGAAGACTTACTTCAATCACGCCGATCTAAAGATTTATGCGGTAAAACTTTATTGTCTTTACTTCACGGCAATGGTGCAGAAATGAGTTATTAAAATTTAGCTAAATGATGGGCACAAACAACTATGAAATTTCGAAACCCTTTATATATGCACTAAACGAAGTAGGAATTTGGTAAGGTCCAGTCACTTCTTAGAGAATTGACTAGAAACTCTGGAGCAGTCATAAAGGACCCACTTATCTTTAGTGACTAAAGACAGCAGGGTTTGCCTGATATAAATTTACTACTCTTAGACCCACGCGTTTGTGCCATCTCATGGAAAAGGGGCGCTGTTATATTTAACAGGGATTTATCGATAATCAAATCTAGCTGCCACATCTGTTCGGACTAATCTACTGTTTTTTGTTGCCCTGACCAATTTTTTAAGATCCAATTATGAGGTTGGTTTTAATAAAATTATAATAAGAGCAAAAGTTCCATTGCACTGGCATTGGTCAATCAGTCATCTATTTTTTTCCTTTTGCAGTTTTTGTGTAAAAAGCCGTTTAATTTTCATTTTGGCGAAGAATTTGTTGCCGTTTTGAAAATAGAAAAAGTTTGCGTTTGCCGAATGCGGGAGCGCCTAATTTTCCATTTTTAAAAGTAAATCGGAATTTTTTTCGAATGTAAAAACCAGAGACTGCCTGATTAAACTATTATTTACAGGCAGAAGCATGATCACCAAAAAGGGTGACGGATCTCAAGTCAAGGAATCAACTGATTCGTCTAGCACCACCCTTGAAGACGACGATATAAAGGGTAAATATTAAAACTTACATTTATTTTTGTTTAAACATATAACGCGATGAATGTTGTGAATGAAAGCCACAGAGATATCTCGTTTAGTAGGATAGGTTTTGATCAATCGCTAGTGCATTATTCAATGCTTCAATCCTTTACATTGAATTTCTTACACATAAAAATTTTATTAGATGAGATAAAATATTCCAAATATGTGACAGCATAAAGTATTCATATACGGTGCAGAATCGGATAAAAGTGTATATCCATTTTCAATTTCCAATTATTTAAGTTTTCACAAAATTAAATATTGTGTATAGACTGTGTTTTATTTTATGGTTGCATATTTTCGCAAGATTTTAATAAATATATTATGTTGTTATTAATCTTTCTTTTTACTATTGAGATCAATGTTACACTCTTAAAACAATTTCACCATATTCAACGTATTTTTTCATACCTTGAATAATAAGGGATACTAGGGATATGATATTCAATTGGACTGAATATCACGCTCGTTTAGAAAACGAATTGCAGCTGATTTGGCTAGATAAATGCATAAATAACGCTAATTTGAAAATAATTGTATCTTCCTTTTAAACTATTCAAAAGAGCTCAACGAACCGCTCTTTTTTTCATTTAAACTACGCATGCATCTTCATTCATTATTTTAGATTATTTATTTTCAAATAATTATAAATAAATTGGGCACTTGAAGCACATATTCTTTTGAGAATAACTTTAAAATTTCTGTCACTATTCGGTATGATCAAATCTTTGCAAAAGTTTTATTAAACGATAATATTTGTTTACCTGATAAAACTTTTGATACTTAATGAGTGCCAATCTAATAATAATTTGACATATCGTTTTATTCACGTATTATTAAGTATTGCTTTTCATCGAAACTCCAATCGATTTATAATAATAGCCAGTATTAATCGCAATAATCTCTAAAATACACATTAAACTCGTTCACATACAGTACATGATATTGGAACACATCAAGTTGCATTTTCAAATATGAAATTTGTTCGTTTTTTTTTTTGTTTTTCCTAGAAGATAAAAAAGGAATCGTTGATCGCAGTACCACAGTCATATCTAAAGAGCCCGAAGGTAAATGTTAACACACATTGTTTGGGTTTTTCAACAATTTTGACACATACATATGTACAAGTAATAATTTCACCATCATATATATGTTCATTTTCCATTAATCAAGGCTTAGGCTTAGGCTAATGTGTTAGGAAACCATGAATAGGCATATCTCGTAGAGCTTTCACTACTCGTATGTATTGTCAATTGGGGAAGAATATGTATTTTATGTTGAAGATCCTTTCATGCCAGAGTATAATTAAACTGTAGAGTAAATCCAGACGTTATCCCTACAATATACTATACATATATGTATAAATGTTGCACATGTATTTAAATTCAAACGCAATCATTTTTTACCAATGATTTTTATTTCAGCAATGTATCTTCTGCATTTGCATTGAAGTTTGAATGCAACTAAATAAAAAAATATTTTAATCACGTGTTAAATAACTAAATACATAAAGTGCCGAGTCGATTAGACTCTTATTTAAATATCAGAGATACTTGAATAAATTATATATTTACGTATGATAAACGTACTCGTACCGTACGTGTGAAGTACTTCAATCTCAATAATTCAACTGAACTGACTTGTGCAGAATCGTCTTTTTTGGAGTCAATACTAAGGATAGTAAAACAAAACATTTATACAAATTTTCATATTAACATACTTGTGCACCATGTAATTATTTTGGCTTGAATGTCCACATACGAGTATTCTTCTTACGCGTGTCCTACCCGTAATCGTGTTACCCCCTACAATCTTAATGACTTGTACTCCACTAAGTAACCTATCAACTACATACATACATATATATGTATATTTCAACAATAATACAAAAAATATTACATAAAAATTCAATTTGTATAACATTGCAGATATTCAAGAGTCGAAAGTCAAAACAAATCGAAGCACTTTGTGTTTGAAGTTTAGCGAAATGGCACCATCTCGAATACTTCAGTCATTTGTAAATATCAGTTTAAATATAAAGAACAAAATCAACTCCTTCGATTCTACCACTTAACCTCGTTGAAGGCTAGCCAAGTCCTTAGTCATTTCGCAATCAATTTAAAATGGTTTATTCAGACATTTCAAGACTCTCTGACATTCGCAAAAGTGTGGGTTATTTCCTTCTGTACTGTTAAGCGCGAAATTGACTGCTCTTATTCCCACGCGGTAGTGCCAGCTCGTACAAAAAGGCCACTGTTATGTTTAACAGAGATTTATCGATAATCAAATCGGGCTGCCACAGCTGTTCGGACCAATCCACTGTTTTTTGTTGCCCTGACAAAAAAATTATTAATAACGAGAAGGAATGCGTGAGTCGCTTCTGGGGACGCGACTCTACTTTTATACCCGTACTCAGTCAGAATATAAATTTTTGAGCTTATGATTTATGTAGAGTTTTAAGATATTTTACATTTTTTTGCTACATCTGTTATCTACATCTACACCTAGAAGATATATGTACCATTTAGATTCTACAACTTTTCCAATTGGCTATTGATGCTGATCAAGAACATATATACTTTATGGGGTCGGAAACGTTTCCTTCTCTGCGTTACACACATCCACTTCTACCACAAATCTAATATACCCCTCAACTCTTTTTGAGTACGGGTATAAAAAGTATCTTCGGGTCAACGCTGTAAGTCAATAATTATTTTCTCAGCTATATGAATATTGAATTTGAATTGTTGATATGAAATTGTTATTCCACTTTTGTGATAAATTATTATATCGCGTAAACACGATTCTTATATGCAGTTTTTGTAAATAATCGTTCAATAAAATAAAGTGAAAATGAAAAGTTATATAACATCTAACTTGATAGACGTCTTTTAAATGAAACAAAGAGTTTTATGTTTTATGGACTTAGCTCGTCATTGATCAATAATACATATAATTACATACGTATATATGTATGTAGTAAGTATGTCGTTTATACCTTATATAGATGATTACATCTCTGCATTGCAAAATCAACATATTTCATATATCTCGCCGAAATGAAAATTAAACGGTTTTTTTTACAACAAAACGCGTCTTAATTGCAAAAGGAAAAAAACCAGATTACTTATTGAGCTTGTGACTTTTTTATATATATTTTTTATAAATGAACCTCAAAACTTGATCTGAAAATATTGGTCATGACAACAGCAACAACAATTTATCCGAACAGCTGTGGAAGCCCGATTTGGCTATCGATAAATCTCTGTTAAACATAACAGTGGCCTTTTTGTATGAGCTGGCACTTACGCGTGGGTAGAACAGCAGTAAATTTTGCGCTTAACAGTACAGGGGTAAATAAATCGACTTTTGTGGATTCCAGAGCGCCTTGAAATGAAAAATATGACTTTTGGCTGAAAAGTAAAACGCACAGTGAATGTGTGATAGTGAACCGGAGCCTGTCTAATATTAACACTGTACCGTATACATTAGGGCGGTTCTTATTTTCGAAATTTCTGAATTTCAAAGGTCTCAGGGTCTTAAAATGTTCCTTTTGTTATGAAACAATAAAATAAAAAGTTTAAGCCCGATTGGAATACGTTTAGAGGTGCAGACTTGAGGTCAAAGTTAAAAAAAATACGATATTTTGACAATGTTTGTATGGAAGCTATACCTTATATCGCTCTGATCGGACTGATTTTTTCATATGATTTAAAATATAAGAATATAACTCTTCTCCAAAAATTTCAACTCAATTGGTTAATATTTCATTTTTTCAAAAATATTGACCAAGCGGAAGAAAAAATTAATTACAACCATATGTCAACGCGATAAACAATGACAAATACTGGAGGCAATCACAAACATATGTAAATTGAATTCTACATTCGGCTAAACCAGGTCGAAACTATACCAATTAGTCCAAGCAGTCCAAATTCTTCTTCAGGTTATTACCCATAAAATCGTATGTTAGTTTTCTTAAACGTCATCGCTAACAGTGCAATAGTCAACCACGTGAGGGATCTTCGATCTAAACTTATCCAATAATTGTTTACCCATTCGTGCCATATCAGGTGGTCAATTACGACTTACTTTAGACTTTCGTCGACTTGACAGCCACTGTAGCTTTTATTTAAATTCAGATATCAATTCTTGAATCTTACATACATATATACCACAACCAGTGGCAATTCTTAGGGGGTAAAATTTACATACATGTATTAGGCTAGGCTATAGTAATTTATATACAAATCATTTTTAAAAACGACACCCTAACTAAATTGTTTATGATTTAATTTTCTAAAAATAAATATGATATGAAATATTGATTTTCACTTGTTTCACGGAAACAATACGAATGTGTGTGTTTTAGAAATAAGGATAGTGTGTCCTGCTAAAACTTGTCAGCAAATTTCTGGAAACTCACAGTGCTCCTCAGGTACGTACATATGTATGCACAACATGTTAAAGCCAGCCACCACTCGCTTTTTCAATGAGTACGTAAGCTGACTGGTTCCACGCCTATAAATATTCCGTAAAACAATAAATGATTTAGTTTATACATACTTCTCAATAGAAAATAAATATGCTTGTATAAATGCATGTGAACAAACTATATGATTTATTTGAAATAAAATTTAAGTCAGGATGAATAAAATAATAAATTCAGTGATCAGATCTGATCCAACTTAAGCGCGAAGGAACGTGTGAGTCGCTTCTTTGGACGCGACTCTAGTTTTATACCCGTACCCAGTCAGTATATAAATTTGTGAGCTTATGATTTATGTAGAATTAAAAAAAAAATTACATTTTAAATTTTTTTGGTACATCTGTTATCTACATCTACAATGCATATTCTACATATAAGATGTAGATTATACATGTACCATTTATATTCTAAATATTCTCCGCCAGCGGGCGCTCGCGGACATAACGAGGCAGAGTGCTCGAGCGAAAAAGTGAAGGTGTCTCTTTCCTGAAGGTGGCGGAGGAAGCAACTGAAAATTAATTTCTTTATTTTGGCTATAATTATTATCCGATCGGATTCAGATTCGGCAATCTGGTAGATATGGTCATTCTCTACGTTACTGCGTTTTCCGTTTTCTCTTTATCTTTAAAAATGTGCCTGCCACAGATTTTTGTCGTTTGTGGGGGCGGAAGGGGGCGAGGCAAAATTTTAAAATATACTTGTAGCAGTGTGATATCATATGAGTCTGGAAACAAAATTTGGTTGCCCTAGTTCTTATAGTCTCTGAGATCCAATCGACAAACAAGACGGACAGACTGACATGGCTCTATCGACACGGCTATTGATGCTGATCAAGAATATACATATATACTTTATGGGGTCGGAAACATTTCCTTCTCTGCGTTACACACATCCACTTTTATCACAAATCTAATATACCCCTTAACTCTTTTTTGAGTACGGGCTTAGGGTACAAATGTTTAGGCTCTAAATATATCAAAAAAAATCGGGTTGGTTCCTGAAGGAAAAAAAATTATGAATAGGTTTTATTATGTGGAAAGTAAAAACGTGTATGTATTTTATAAAGTTGATGTATAAAGAAGCCGCTTTTATTCCGGGGTCCAGCTGTCCGTCCCCCAGTAAAATTGCAATCAGGATGGGAGTTTTTAAGAAGTTGGACAATGCTGTACATTATATATAAAGTATTTTTAACTAGTATTTACTTAAATATGTTTTCTATTTCTTGTAAGGTATTGCATGCCTAAGGAAATCAAACTATTCCGATATAATAATATAGTTTTCAAACAATTTTAAAAGCTATGCATGAAAAATTCATGAACCGGGAGTCATGCGTAGCCTATATAGGAAACAAACTGGCACTATCAATGTGAGAAGTCTTATAACAACTTACTATTAAACTGAAACTTTTCATAAAAATCTGCTATTGATTGTGACAAGAAAAACAGTTTTGTATTATCAATTACTCTTGTTTAATAATGCATCTACTCACGTTTAGGTCGGGCCAACCTTAAATCTCCCTAAAATTGTCCTCTGCACCATTTTTGCGAAAGTTTGTATGCATTTTATGGCTTTAGTTGTATTCATTTATTCGTGATCAAAATATCATTATTAAAAAGTATGATATACACTTTTAAAACAATCCATTTTTAATTTAATCGTTTCGAATATTTATAATATTCATAGAAAGTATAGAAAAGAATTGAAAGAATTAACGAACATATTCGAGAGTCAGTCAGTCAGTTTACAGGTCATTATAATTATACTTGTAAATAAATGTTAAAAAATAAAATGAAAAAATGCATGATACGAACTAATTGAAAATTTACCTTTCAACAATATACAAAGCAGCTAGACGACAAGAGATAATTAAGATAACTGAACAGCTGATTGAAGCAATAAATAGTGGTGACTTTGATGGATACACGTAAGTTTTTTATTTTTGTTTAACAATTGCAATGGTTTACCATGACCATTTTGTTTTTTATTTTTATAAACTACTTACAGTAAAATTTGTGACCCCCATCTAACTGCCTTCGAGCCAGAAGCATTAGGTAACCTAGTCGAAGGAATTGATTTCCACAAATTTTACTTTGAAAATGGTAAGCATAATTAGTAGAACATTTAACAGTTTACCATTATGCCTTTTTTACTTTTAGTTCTTGGTAAGAATTGTAAAGCCATCAACACAACCATATTAAATCCCCATGTACACTTATTGGGTGAAGAGGCCGCTTGCATCGCATATGTCAGGCTAACACAGTACATTGATAAGTAAGTTTAGCAGAGTTTCCACAAGTGGACAGGCTAATATTATTTTTCTGCACTTGTAATCACAGACAAGGACATGCTCATACCCATCAGTCAGAGGAGACGCGCGTCTGGCATAAACGCGATAACAAATGGCAAAATGTTCACTTTCACCGAAGCGCATCAGGAAAGATTAGTGGAGCCACTACATTCGATTTTATATCACAAAAATAGGATGCATATAACAATGGATTGCATTCATCACACCAAAGATATAAAGTCTAGTTGTGCAGTTCAAACAGTTGAATGTGAATGTGCTACATTCATTTGCAGTTGACACAAAATACGTGTCTTACCTATAAAAAAGTTTACTGTAAATTTGATTATTTGTCTAAATTAAATTTAATATTTATTTGAAAGTTTTTTATGTTTATATTTTTAATCTTATAAATAAATTAAAATCGATAAAAAAAAGCATGCATGAAAAATGAAAGTCAAAGTCAAGGCTCATAAGTTCCACAGAAAGTATGACAATTTTAGTGATTTAACATAAAAATCAGTTTCGAAACATACGAATGTATAATGAAAACTACTTTTCATAGCCAACATATCTGTGGGAGGAAAATGTGTAACTGGAGAACATCATGTTTGTGAATCTTAATGTGGGAATGTGTTTCTAAATTGGCCTGATTTGCTGATGCAAAGTCGTACTGACCATCATAGACTTTGTTAAATAGATTAATATGTATCTTTGGGAAAGAAAACAAAAACAAATACGAAAACTATAAAAACCTAATAAATTTTTACTTACTCTTCTAAAAATGCCTGCAAACATTGTTAATGTATGTATCTGAATACTTATAATCATTTGTTTATTTGCATAAGCACTTAATTATTCACGTTCGTAAAATACATAAACACAAATATATATCATACATACGTACGAGTATATGTAATCGCAAATAAATGTGTGAATAAAACCAAAAATTAATAACGCAATTTAATATAAAATGTATCACGAAAGTGTAAAGCATTAGATAATTACAAAATAGCATTTACAAATTTAAAAAACAAATACATTAATTTAAATCCAAATAAATTAGCTAATTGTTATACAAAATTTAGATGGAAATGATTTGGCGATGCTTTTCATGATTCACATCGCCTGTCTGTCCGCATCCTAGCCATTTCATATGTATGTACCTTATGCATATGAAGTAATGATTGATGCATCTGTGGATGCAGTGCATCTTCGAAATGACATGAATTAAATAGACGTTTTATTATTACATAAATGTATTAGTATTATGATTTATTTAAATTTTATATGAATATTTCGATATCATGAGAAAATAAAAATTTTTACCATACAATTTAAAAGGCAGAGACGAAATTATTTATCCTACCATAATAATTACATTACAGATAATATTAAAAGATAATTTGCATATTTTCTCCAGTTCGGAAATTAGATCAAATTAAGTGTTTTAGGTTAAGCATCTAACTATGTATGTAAACATTGTGTAAGTGTATCGTTTATTGTGAGCAGGGTAGGAGTGCGTATATAGAAATTGTATGTTTGAGACTGCATACAAGCATAATGATAAAGCTAATTTTTCCTGATCTGTTCCTTGTAATTTCTTGGAAAGCAAACCAACTATTCTATGGTCACATATTTTAATTTAATACGGATTCTTTAGCATGTATTCACATTTGTTTAAGACACGAGCATATGTAGAATAAATCGGGACAGATACTTTGGATATATGTATGTATGCATGAGTACTTACATTTGTGCACGAAATCGAACACACTCGTCTAGCTTTAAAAATTTTTAGGTAAATGCTTTTAAAAGACAGGAGTAAATACATTTTGAATTCTTTAATTTAAAACTATAAGAATTTAAAATTTATTTAGTACTATTGACCTTATTATTTTCGATTGATTTTACATCATGGGTCAAATAGATGCCACTACTTCCTATTTCTCCCACAATTCCCACATTGTTAACTGTTTTAATTAAAAAAGAATGTATATCAACAAATAAATGCTGATTGTATGATCAATTTTTCTAGGACTTAAACGTCTTCTTAAATAATAAATAATATATATATCATACTTATATAAACGGAAAATCTATTATAATTCTTGAAATTTTAATGTATCAAAAAGCTTTTAAGGTAAACCGAATATGATTAAAAAAAATTATGGTTTGCGTTTCTCGAAACCCATAAAGAGATAATATGATAAATAAAAATTGACTTTATACATTTTTTTGCGGATGTCGATGTCGGATCCCCAATATTTAAAAACAATTAAAGCCAACCCATAATGCAAATTAAAGAGTAATAATTCTTAATATTAATAAATTATTCCATAATTATGATTTATAAAATACACATACATATTTAATAAAAATTAAACCAAATACCTTCATGGCTCTTTAAATGAAGGTCTTAACGAGGGTACATATTTCTATATAACATTAAAAAACGGGAACGTGTGAATCGCTTCTGTGAACGCGACTCTACTTTTATACCCGTACTCAGCCAGTATATAAATTTGTGAGCATATGAATTATGTAGAATTTAAAAATTTTTTTGCTGCCTCTGCTATCTACATACATCTACAATGTCGATTACACTACTCGACAAAATCGAATTTTTTTTTTCCTAAAGGATCCAAACCTACTTTTTCTGATAGAAAATTTCGTAAAAAATACAGCACGAAAATCATCATTTTTGCATTTCAATGCTTTATATTTCCCAGACGGTAAGCTGAAATCATAAACTGTTTGGGCTCAACTTCTAGCTGTTTTAATTGCCTTTTTAGAATAGCAAAGTTCTTTACAACCAGACGTAAGATACTAGGGTTATGTGAAAAAAAAACAATCGCTACCTCTGAAAAAAGGTTAAAAAAAAATACCAGTTTTCAAAAATTCTTTAAAATAAATTTCTGCCATAGAAAGAAAAAAATATCATCAAACCATTTCTAAGCCCCAAATCTTTAAGAAAAAGTTCGTTTTGTTCCTTGAGGAAAAATCGTGTTGACTAGTGTTATTAATGTAGATTATGCATACACAGTGTAGATTCTATATCTTCTCCGAAAAAGGTCGCACATTGCACAGCGCAGAGTGTGTGCTAGCGAGAGAGAGAATGAGTAGCGTCAGCAGAGGTGGAGGAGGTTGGGGAAGCAACTGAAAATGAATTTCTTTATTCTGGCTAGAATAATTATCAGATCTGTACCCGATTCGGCAATCTGGTAAATATGGTCATTCTATACGATACGGCGTTTATCGTATCTTTAAAATTGTGACTGCCACAGATTTTTGTCGTTTGTGATGGCGGAAGGGCGCGGGGGGAAATTTTAAAATACATTTTTAACAGTGTGATATCACATGAGTCTGGAAATTGGTTTTTGGTTTGGTTTCTCTATCTCTTATAGTCTCTGAAATCTAGGCGCTCAGCAGGACGGACGGACAGATGTGGCAGACTTGGCTATATCGACTCGGCTATTGATGCTGATCAAGAATATATATACTTTACGGAAACGTTTCCTTCTCTGCGTTACACACATCTACTTTTCTACTAATATACTCCTTAACCAAAGACAATATAACAATAAGATGCGTAACGCCATTCGAAATTTTCGCACTCAAATTTTTCAGGCTGGGTCTAGGGCAGAGGCCGGCAGCGTCGTATGCACTGTGCATAGGAAACAATTTCGGGCAGCGCAGTCGGCACACGTACAGCGTAAAGACTTCGTGTGGTTTCGTTATTCTGCGCTGCTGACGTAGCGGCAGAGAAACATGCTTCGGGCTATGCACAAACGGCTTCATTTTCTGCTCACTTGCCTCAGCGGCAGAGAAGCATTCGTGTGCCCTATGCACAATTACTCGGCTTTCGCAGCGGCAGAGAAATAAGTAACGTATTTGACTTCGTTTCTGTTGTCTTCGCACACAAACGCACCAAAAAAAATTTGTGAGTCTGTGTGCCGACCCCTGGTCTAGGGCCTGGAGCTCCTCTTGAAATTTTGTTGAAAAGCCAGAGAGAGAGCGTCCAGTCGGACTTGGTTGCTTCCAAGAAGTACTTGTAGGGCGCTTCCCAGTCGGACTTGGTTGCTTCCAAGAAGTAATTCTAAAGCGCTTCTTTTTCATGCGAGAACCTGTGACATTTACGTGACGTTCTCGCTTCCAAATTACTAAGGGTGAAAGCCGAAAGCAGAGGCAAAGGCTAGCCTAAAAGAGAATGGAAGAAATACCCCGCGCGCCCGACGCAACATTAGCTTTTCAAAACAAAACGAAAAAATATTTTATGAACCGCTTCGTCAATGCCTCAACCCGCGTCGAGTCGAGCGACAGAACACACCAAGAAAATATGAAGTCTTACGACGGGAATAGGTCCAGGGCCGGATTTGCAGTTGCCTAGGGCCCCCTAGGGATAACAGAAAAATTTTGTTGAAAAAACAAAACTCCAAATAATGAATACAAAATATAATAGCCACTGAGAAAAATACAAAATAAAGGAGGGCCCCAGATTGATGGTTGCCCAGGGCCCGGTTGAGGGTTGATGCGGCCCTGAATAGGTCGCTACATCACATCAGCCCTCAAAACAAAACGAAAAACCAATTCAAGCGGCCAACAATTGTAGAGCCCACACACAAGCACAGTATGTGTGAATACATGGCACACACACGTTTACGTAATCTGAAATCTCGAACAAAGTCGGTTTCGGCAGCTAATAATTATTCTATGCATACAATCATATATTTTGGAGTGTACACGTACACAACACATGCATGCTTGCTGCCAGTCGGCTCGTGTGACGTCATGAGCCCAACGCGGCCATTCCCAAAGCCGAAGATCTGGGAACGTACGCTGCAAACTCAGCTGCGCCCCTTTCGTTGTATGAACTGGCACATCTATATACTGTATGGTTAGTGCCCATACGTACAATTTGATTCACTTTATATATTCCATAATAAAATAAAATACAACAAATAATAAAAATAAGCAGAAGTAAAAAAAATTTAAGAAAAAAATAAAACTAAAAAAAAAATGAAAAACATAAATGAACATTACTTATAATAATAATAATATAAAAAATTTAAATAAACGGATTGACGTCGTCGTCTATGATGAAATTTATGTCGTGGTAGTAGTTGTTGTTTTTCTCGGTATTTTGTTGCAGTCTTCCCTGTCGGTGTCTGCTTTTTTTCTTGCTTGTAAATGCGATTCTTTTCTTTGGAGAATGCCGTCCTTGACATAACAGGGGAATCTGTACCCCGGCTTGTTTTGTGATTCTGTCAAAATAAATGGTAATGTTTATTATGCGAGCGAGATGGCACGAATTTCGTCGCTTGCCGGAAAATTGCTTGCCTTTGCCTTAACCCTTCGAATACGGATATATTGATACATCGCTGAACCGATCAATTACGACGAGTTCAAAGCTTTAGTCATTGAAGCATTATACAGGGTTCCGGGGACAAAAAACCTCTACACACGCCTACGGAGTAATATGTCCGGCATGACCATTCAGGAAACGACACTGTGCAACGATAACGATTGCGCAAGGGAACAGATCGTTTAAAAGATAAGACCCTCAATATAGGGTCGAGGGAGAAATATGTATAGTCCGACCAGCTCAACTTCAGGCATTGATTCAGTCTCCCTAAGCTTCTAAGCGGAAGTAGCTTCCGTAGCTTTAACTTAGATATCTATAGCTATAGCCAAACTGCTTTCAGTACGCTTCATTA